GGACTGGATATAAGAGCTGGAACACTCTTAGTTCTAATATCTGAGTAGAGAGCATTTTTTAATTTTTTTATTTTCTTGTTTCATGTATACAAGTATTTTGCCTGTATGTATGTGAGCCATGCCCACATAGTTAAACTTTTTTGTGGGGGGTTCATTTATGCTCTGAAATTAAGCTATTACACTAATTTATATATCTGGTACCTGGCAGTAGCTTTGTCTCTCAGCAAATCAGTTATATGCTTTTTGTCCTAATGACTCAGAGTAAAATGCTGCTCCATAAAAATCATAGAAGTGCTCTCTGTCATTAAGGCTCACCTTGGAAGAATGGTAGCATCAGAGAATTTTCTAATTGGCATTGTGTACCCAAAACTATTAAGAAGGAAGATTGCAGTATCACAGAATCCATGACACTACCGTCTGATGCATCCTTGATGTTATTTCCAATATAATGTAGTCATTCATTCATATCAAGAAGACAATATAGGAACCAAGTACCAGTAGGAGACAGAAATAAGAAACTTTGTCTTTAGTAAATATAAAAAATCTACCAGTAAAGAGATGGTTCTAACTCCAGAGTACTTTCTGCTCTTCCAGAGGACCAGAGTTCAGTTCCCAGTATTCACATCACGGGGCTCACCTATAACTCCAGCTCTAGGGTAACCTATATCCTCTTCTGGTTTATGTGGGCCCAGCATGCCCTGTCATATACACATTCTTACACAAAATAAATACTTTGACTGAATTAAATTAGTCCAAGGTAAAGAGTGACAAGTTAGAAGCTAAGACCTCGCAATCAACCTGGATAGAATTGAAAAGAGGATGGTTACCAGTAATTAGTAAGCAAGTAGCCTTCAATCATCAAACTGTTTTGCTAGATAATGGAAAAATGCCATTCATCACTGTTCCAGAGAGCTTTCAGTTAAAAATTAGCAAGCACAGATCAGATCTGAATTCTATTTCCTTTCTGCAGTGTTTTCAAATTCAAAATTTGCCACCTATTGCAAATGGTACAGGATGATACGGGTATGACCTTCTTGAAAAGACTGCTCAAGTCATGTAGAGCAAAATAGAGATGACAGAATGGACATACTCCCACTATTATTCCTTTAAGAAGCCCTAGAAATTAATTTATTAACATAGTCATTAAAATGTTGATTTGCTGTAAATTTTCAATAACATATCTGCTTTTCATTGCCTACATTCTTCCTACTCTGACATTCTTCCTACTCAAACACTTTTATTCTTTTGTTTCTTCAGAAGGAAGAAATGCATTTCTGAGGACCTTTATTTACTTTTTAGAAAATATTTTTCTTTCTATGACAGTTTGTTCTCTTTATCTACAACAAGAGTAGTGTCTCCTCTTTGTTACCAATGTTGTACAACTTTTTCCTGACTCTAAACTCATGTGGATGTGGCCAAAGTACACAAGTAAAAATTAGACTATACAAAACCCCCTAAAACACAGGAAAAATTCTGGAACATCTAAACTCATTCAGAAGTTGAAACCTTAAATTTAACTCTGCCACCAATATTCACCAAATGCCAGTTCTCATTAAGGACTAATATATTTCCATAAGGAATTGGCTCATTTTCTATATCAGCTAAGAAAAAATCATCGAAACAACATCAGCCTCAATGTCATATTTTGCTCTGTTCATCTTTCCAGTACTTTGTTCAAGGAAAGGAATGAGTTTTGCTTAATGGATTGAATTTATCATCCACATTTCCCACTGTTTTATAACCAATTACAACTTTTCAGCTCCCTCTTCTTTCTTCTTTCAAATATCACATTAAGTACTAACCAATGCCTTTAGCATGCTTTCCTAGACATCTGTACTGAGAGGGCAGATTTTCTGTCTCCATAACCACTTGCTCCATCAGATCTGTGTTAACTGTTTGCTGTATCTTATGATAAGAAAGGACTTCATATCAGTCACTTTTTTTCCAGACATAGTACTGGAAATACACTGTGTACACAATATGGATTTGCTAGACTCTAACTGAAAAGCCTAAGCTGACTGGTAGGATGTGGTGGAAGCCAACATGTACCAGCTGTTCCCTGGTTCCTGGTGTCAGCAACCGGCTCTCCTCACAGATATTACCCTGAGTTTGTTTTCTTAAGCCTGAGGATAGATGTTGCCTTTTCTCTGAGTTACTGAACCTAGGTTAGGAGCCGTGCCTGTCACAGAAGCTTCTGACAAGTAACTGTGTTGCTTAAGAGTAGAGAAACATTCTGCATCTTCTCACTGAACCTCTGTCACATCCCCTGGAATATCATGGTTGCTCAAAATGTATCTGCTATGTCTAGGGCATTGATGTTTGAAAAGATGATAAATGTAATAAACACTGATCAAACCCTGTATGTTAAATATTTACCACTCTTTTTTTTTTCTTTTGGTTTTTGTGAGACAAGGTATTACTGTATAGTCCTGATTGGCTTGCAACTTTCTATGTAGAGCAGGTTGACCCAAAACTCACAAAGATTGTACTGCCTGTGTCTGCCAAGTGCTGAGACTAAAGGCATGTGACACTATACCTAGCTTCTATCACTTTGTATATATTTCAATAAGTGTTTTAAAAAACATGTTTATCTGTTAATAGTAACAAAACCAGAAAGAATTAAAAAGTCAACACATATATAAATATAATCTTACACATGTATTAAATTTTACTGTGATAAAGAGTGTGCTGCTATTGTATCTTCACTTTTGATTTTCAGTAACTGAAAAAGAAGATTAGACCAAATGAAGACCTTATCTTAGTGAATTTATTTTACTAGTAACATCTTGAAAATTCTATTACTTGTGATGAAACCTGCCATTGTTTTTATCAAATAAACGTCAAGTGAAGGTCTGTGGAGGAAAGACTGATTTGGTTGAGTATAAAATGGGTCAAATTACTATTTAATCCTGAGTAAATGCCACAAATTATACTTGACTATAACTTATTTTGTTACTATTTTACGTTTTATAACTTGTTTTTCTCATTACTTTCTTTTAGTTTTCCAGAGATTTGGAACTTTTGTTGTTTTGTGTCATTGAAAAAGTGACTTGCTATTAGCCCAGTCTATTGATAAGTTCCCAATCTTCCTAACTCAGCCTTCCCAGTGCTAGGATTACAGGCACGTCATCACATCTGGCTGGAACTTGGGGTTCTACATTTACTGTTTAAATGTCCCATCCTATCATGTCCTGGCTCAGGTTTCCAGTTTATAAGAAGTGATTCTCTGTATCATTCCTGGGCTCTCTTGTTATTGCAACTTTGTTTTATCTTTTGTTTCATATTTTCACCTTATTGTGTCAATGCTTTCTCACTCTCTGTAAACCATTGCTGTTCTAGTCACTCCTACATTTGTGCCTTTGGTACCAGTTAACTCTTCTGAACCCACATATTTAACTGGAGAGCTCATACAAAGACTTCATTAAAATACATATGTGCTGCTGAGTTAAACAGTGATTTCTTCTTGATACTTCACATCGTTGGATGAATAGTAATTTTGTCCATTTTGCATCAGATTTCCTCTTGATTTTTCACCCCTCCAATGAATAGAAACACTTTCCCTTTTGTTATATAAGCTCAAACCTGAGACATACATGAGACATCCTCTGATTGCTTTAAAGTAGATGCTGACTTCTGCTGCATTCCTGCTCTAGTGTCTTGCAATTCCTCTGGCCTCCCATGTGGATCACTATTTGTCCTACTTTGTAGTTGTATAATTTGTCAAATGTCAACTGACTGTATGATGACTTTTCAGTTTTTTTTTATTATTACTTTTGGGAGCTTCAGTCATCCCAGTAGTATAAGAACTATGTACAAATGTCTTTCTGTAGAACTTCAAAGATTTCCTAACAATTTTATCATAGCTTTATCATGTTATACAGCAGAAAGGAAAATATGTTCTCCTCAAATATGTAACAATTATGTCTATTATGCCACAAGATATTCAGTAAATGCCTCCTAAAATGGGAAGATAAAAGTGAGGCATCACATAATGGGTGATATCACACTGGTTGTTGCATCCAGAGTTTTAGAGGGGTTCTGCTTTCTGCAGAATACAGCCATATAGCCCCAACTGCTAAGCATGACATGAATCTTGTCTATCTCTCCACCCCCACCCCGTCCCATCTTGTTCAATTGGGCTCCAGCATCACAGTACCACTTGCTGTCCTAACTAAAGTGTACCCTGCCCCTTGACACATAACTTTCCGCTTCTTAAATTTTGTAAGCCCCCTATTTGAACTTCAAAGTTATGTTCAGAAATGTCCTGGACTCTTCTCATTCTAGCATGGTCATTCATGAGAATAACTTAGATCAGTGTCTGTCTTTTCATATATCCTACTCTATTCCAGGTTCCCTGAAGACAGGGGCAACATCCTTTTCATGGCCATATACTTCAATGATATTGTCTTTTTATGTATTGGTTATGAAACCAGATAAATATGTCTTTGAACAAACTTCTCAACTGACTGATCTTAATGGTGTACTTCTGTTCTCCTGGATTTTACACTACACTCTATGTTTCATTTTCTACTTTTTTTTTCCTTCAATTTTGTTTCGTACTTTAACTTGAAGTCTTCTATATTATAGCACACAAGTAAAATCTCAGTATCATACATTACTTTGAATTATCTAAAGTATTCAATTATTTGAAAAATATAATTTAATGCTTTATTCAGTTATAATATGTATTATTTTGCCAGCTGTTTGTCAATTATCAACTGTAATCTATGTATAACATTATATTGCATTTCAGCAACCTGTATTCTCCCTTTTAAAATAATATGGCTGGAACAGAAAAAATGCATTGTTCCATTGAAGAGACTATGTTAACATGAATGCACACAGACATACACACAGAGAGTGGGACTGAACTAGACAGTTAGACTGTGAGCCTACACAGAAGAATCTTCCATGTTATAGTAAGAGATCCATTCTTCTACAGTCACAATAATACTGAAATGCAGTCTCTGCATTTACTTGTCCTTATTTCCTTAACTTACTTTATATTTTCATTTGCAGGAACATCAGGTAACTGCACAGTAATCATGCCATCCAAGTTGGTCTTCCCAATGAAGGCAGGCTTGGTACGGAGCACATCTGGAGCAGTCTTTGCAGTTACCCTATGCTGTAATCCACCAGCACTGTTCCCACGATTGGTTAACACAAAGGAATATGATTTCTCAGGCTTGAGGTTAACAATTAACTTCTGGGTAGCTCGGCCATCTACTTCTTCTACCATTTTCCCATCATCATAAAGAATCTATAGATATAAAACCAATCACAATTGATTGCCATTTTCTAAACCATTTTTATCTACTCGTTTCTCCAGCTCAATTCTATTTCTGGGCAAGTCCTAACTCTATAAGTATTTGTAATTCTAGTGACTGTATTGATTGTCTTTGATAGTTCCTAGTGTATAATGGTAAAATGTTCCTGATTCTCTCAAAAATGCACAACAACAAAAAGTACAGTCATTTTTCAAGATTTAACCTGTCAGTCACTTGTAAACCTAATAGAATATGTTCTAGGTTTTGAATGTGTTATATGCACAATTTATCAGGAAGTTTTAAATCTAGCTCTAAACATTTCCATGAACTAAAAGTATTTTTATATTCATTTAATAAATACTAACTAATTGCTACTTTTTGTTTTTGCAAGACCTTAATGGCAAGACAGAGCTTTATTTCTACAGTGTTAGGAATTCAGACCAATAAATATAATCTTAAAATCTTCCAAAATATTGCATTATAAATTAGTAGAAATCCTGAGGATTCCTTACGTTTATGGATACAAAAACATTTACTTTGATGTAAATATTCAAGTTCAATGTACCAGGTACCATGTAAGTCTTGCCACCTGTGGCTCTGAGGGTATGCTCATTCTCCATAATGGAAAGATCACAGTGTCAAAGAACCAAAAGCAACTCTTCCATGAAATTCTTTCACAAATAGAAATAGAACTCTTGAGCCCCAATCATTTTTGTTTTGTAGAAGAGGAGAGCTAAACCAGGGCCTCACGCATGCTAGGTGTTTGCTTTAGCACTGAACTATCCCAAGTTCATGTGTCCAAATCAAAGTTTTCTGTATTTGTTACACATATTGTGCAATTGTGAGATGAGCTGTCCCTTCTTCTTGTCACCATGTCACCTAAATAACACTTACTTTGAAAGGCATAGCAGAATTATAATTCTCTGGAATCTCCCAAGACAGCAGCACTGAAGTCTTCATAACTGCTTTGACATGAAAATTTTTTGCAAACACTGCTGGAAAAGGAAAAACTGTGTATTTAAACTATTCTTAAAGCATCTAACTTTTTTTTTTCCATCATGGATCATAGTGCTTAGGATAAGTGCTGCCTACATGGAACAAAGAGAGAAATGTGATTTGCCTACCTGTTTAGAGCATTCATTTTAATACCCATTCTCAAAAAGAACTTGCCTTTGCCTCCAATTCAGTCACTATCCTCTGTTTGTCTTACCTGAGAACATAGGGTACTGCCAACCAGACTTGCATTCTATAACTGAAATCTACGATTTTCAAAGTGGATTGAGTTATACATACTTTACCTGCTTGTAGTGGTGAACCTATTAATATGAATGTGCCGATCAGTTATTTACAGCTTCAAAATATTGATTTCCAAAGATTGATATTCCTTTAAAGGAGGAAGGCCATAAGTAGACAAATCCTACCTTGATCCACAGGCAGTGTCCTGAACTGGACACTGGGACTATATGGCCCGGGCCCTTTGCTCGTGTGAGCACGTACTTTTACATCATATGTAGTATCAGATTTTAAGCCAGTGAGTGTCATAGAGGTGTCAGCTGGAACAATAAGGTGCTCCACTGGAAGAAGGGGAATGTTGATATCCCTATACAAGATGGTATATTTGGTGATGACGCCATTTCTCTCTGCCAAGACAGGTGGTTGCCAAGATAATTGAACGGAAGTTGAAGTTGTGCCTTCTGAGTGGAGGTTTTGAGGAAATCCAGTTGGCATTTCTTCTGGAACAGAAATTTCTTTCACCATTTCCTCCCCAAAGCCCACTTTGTTTCTGGCTGAGAGTCTGAAGACATATGATGCGCCCTTGTGGATGTCTGTGGCTGTAAAGTGGTCTTCTTTCTCAGAAAATTCAAGAGTAGTGAGTGGCTCCATGTCTTTCCTGCCAAACTTTAGTCGGTAACCCTGAAGGGGTCCAAATGTGTCCACAGGGGGGTGCCACTGAATGAGAGCAGTATTCATTTGAGTGTGGTTAATCACAAGCCGGGGTCTCCCTGGAACTAGAGCACACAAGACAGAATGGTAAGGATGACTGTCATTTATGATCACATGTCAGGTATTGCGAAATCAGGGTATCACTCTACTAGTGTTCACCTTTCAGTGTTCATAAACAATACAACACTTATCCTACATACCATTGTTAAATAGTCATCTTTTTCTTTCTTTATTATAGTAGGCTGACACAAAATTTGGTAATGAACAATTTTAGTGCATCAAGGCTTATATTTGTCACAGAGCAATGAAGCCAATAAATGATTGGCAAACTAGATAGAACTAATTACAGGTATAACTACAATGATTAATTACTACACACAATGTCCTAGTATTACAAAAAGAATATTGTACATAGTGTGTCTTAGATTTAAACACTCACTGTATCCACTAGGTGATTACTATTATCTTAATGTTCTGTAATGAATAAGAAGCCGAGAGAACTGAAAAACATTCTAAAGTTAGGAGTACAAGTGAGAGAGCTGTAGAACATATCCAGAACCACAGTCCACACTCTCAACTATGCATTCATGTGTACTTTCTTGTAACTTCTCTATCGTCACATGTTACCCTTATGAAGTTCTACGTCTTGTTATTGTGAATTATTAAATGAAGAGGTACAGATCAAATATTTTCATTAATATTAGTATGATTATCAGAGTGATGAACTGTTTGTGTTTACGCTATTCTCTTCTGAGGACACACAAGTTCGATTATATATACGAAGATATGCACTGTGATCATGCAAAGCCTATTACATCTGGTATTTTTGGTGGATAAAGCAACTATTATTGGAGTTGATAGCATAGGCTACAGTTGTACGAGAAGCTGTCTTAAACAAAATGAAAGTGGGAGAAAAGGGACTCAATGTTGTTGCATTCCATAATATTCTGTGATAAAAGACTCTTAGGCTAGAGACCACATGGCCCAATAATGTTCTATAATTCCCAGCAACAGTTTTGATGTACCCTCTTGCACTACAGTTCTCAAAGCATCTTGGCTTTGCCCAAAACAATCATTTGTTTTCCAGGTAGAAACATAACTAAGCATAAGAACTCTGAGATAGCTACTGAAAACACCATAAAATACCATGTGAAGGATTGACTAAGGAGATGAAAACACACTGCCATCTATGACAGCCTACAGGAAGGGAAGCCTAAATTCTCCACAATGTGTAAGGAAAACAACAAGTAGAGTTTAAAGAAGTTGGGATAATGGCTCTAAATGGTTATTTTATTCTACTATGAGAATGATGGGACAAAAAGGGAAAAAGAATCAAGTTATAGATCACTCCATATATGGAGAAAAAGAATTTTCCAAAGGTTAATATAATGGCAATAGAACCACTTTATTAGGGACACCAAATAGGAAACATTTAAAATTTATTTGCATTACACAAACCTTGTATCCAACCACACAGGGATCAGAGCAAGTGCAGGTTCATAGGGCAATTGTGTTTTTAAAATATGCCTACCTACTGATAAAGATTAGGATGTGAAGAAGATGACACTATATATAGATTCTGGATCAAGGTTCATAGGTGATAATAGCAACCACATTCAAAGGTCTAGTCAGTAACAGAGCTAGTGTTTTACCTTGTACCTCATTAATGCTTGAGAGCTTAGACAGTGTTAAAATCTCACATACTCAGAGGAGGGCTAATGTCAGGCTTAGCAGCAACTTAGTAAACAGTAGACACAGAGGGCAAGTTACAGAGTCGATAGATAACACTGTCCTGTCTATGGTGACACCCTAATGCCCTCTCTTGCTCTTTTGTGATGCCTCTTTTGGACCTCTGTGACATGCCAAAGCCTCTCCTGGCACTTTTATTAGGGTAGCAGAGATGGTTAATACATGTGGTTACCTCAAAATTCTTTTTTAGATCAATGTCTGGAGGTCAGCAGAGGCCCTCAGTCTCAGTGGTTCTAAAGGCAGCCTCCATTTAAGTAACTGCAATTTTTTGAGCATAGCTGATTGCTCTCAGTCTGTTATATTCTCAGTCACTGCCATTTGATCACCTTTAAACACATTAGTCAGCAGAGTGGGGAAATATGTAGAATAATATACAGATCTGTCAAATCAATAAATTTTTGAATTTTTATTTTATAATATGTTTATATGCAGCTATTGTGTGAAAGAATGTGCATATGAGTGCAGGTGCCCACAGAGGCCAGAAGAGAGGGTAGGATGCTGTGGAACTGGAGGTATAGGTAATAGTGAGACACTTGATATGGGCATTGGAAGCTGAACTTGTATCCTCTGAAAAAACAATTCTTGCTCTTAACACTAAGCTATTTCCCCAGTCCCCTCAAACAATGAAGTTTTAGGTTGTCTTAAATCTCAAGGACTTAGGCAGTACACTACATATGATAAAGAAAAGTAAGAATATTAACAAGGAAACTACATACACCATAATCATTCAAACACAGAAAAGCTAGCTCCTTCATGCAAGTTTCCTTATATCAGACATAAAGATTATTTAAGTTTGCAGTAGTACTTCTGTTTGAAGAATTGAATGCTTATAGATTATAGAAATGCTATAACTACACAAGCATACACTCAAGATTCTTAATGTTAATATAACATTTCAAGGAAATTCCAAAATTATCCAGATATACTATAACTATGTATCTTTATAACCTTTACTAGGAATTTATTGCATACACTGAAACACAAGAGGAATTTTTGTGATTATATAAAAAATAAATTAACTTTCATTAATTGTTCACTAACTGCACAGCACTAAGCCATAGACAAAGCATGTATTTTTACTAGTAGGTAGGGGAGTAGTACAGGAGTATCACATGACCTCTATAAAGACAATAAGTATGACTAAAACAACTCCATTGTGAGCATTTTCATTTTGCTTACCCATGCCTCTCTCGATTAAGAAAGAATGGAAACTGTGGGAAAAAATAGCAAAATAATTGGACAACAAGGGTAAGACCCACAGTTCTAAAAATCATGTACAGTAATGGAAATTGATGTTATAAAAAGTAAGAGCCTTTTCTTTTGTGGCGATTTGGGTTGCTTGACTATAAATCCTCTGCTTTTATGTCCTTGTCCATAGGTTTCATCTCATTGGCAGTAAGGATTTCATAATTCATATAAGGCATTAACAGTACGTAACTATGTGAATATAAGTAGGGAAAAAAACCTTTCTGTTCAATTTGGGATTCCAGATCAGGGGTTTTATCATGTATTTATGTTCTAACACTGATTGCTCCTATGATCAGAGAATCATATGTAATGCCACCATATCTTCATTATATGTCTACTTTCTGGTGTGGCACAAAGTTTGATACAATAGTATTCTTTAAATCAAAGAAAGAGAGAAGTAAGGAAAGCAAAAGGAAGTATAAAATCTCCGTCTTGAAGGAGTTTTGCCATCTGTATTCCTGCTGCTTGAGGCAACTGCAGGTGGCGGGACACAAGTGAGGCAAATCTTATGACATTTAGACAAACTTGGCAGTGAGATGGCACCCAGGAGGGTGATCAACATCACAGCTGTTCTCTGCTTTCTGTCTTTACGTAGAAAGGCGTTCCCATAAAGTTGTGCGGGAAGCATCTCAACAGGAGTAAATCAAAACCATGGTAGAGACATTCCATGTAAGATTGCTCTATGACGGGATTGGAGGAGATGCCTCCTATAATTATGCCTTAATTTATCAGTTTTGATGCCAGTTCTTCCTGCTGCTTTTCCCTATGTGGCTAAGCAAAGCAAGTCTAAGAAGCACCAAAGAAGCCTCTGGTCCTTCTAAAAGGAGCAATTTGAAATTATTGAGACTTTTGATCATTTCTGTTTTCTATCTTTTGTGTAATTATCTTCTTTTGAAGCCTCTCAGAAAAGGTTAAGGAGGAAAATGAGAAAATATAAGTCTGTAAGCAATGAACCCAATCAATATGGCAACTCCATTCTAGAGAGGTTTGTGATAGTTAGCTAAGTGCTAACTTGACAGAGTCACTCAGAAAGTGAACCTCTGGGGGATGATCTTAATTGGGTGAGAGAACTCAAACTAAGCACGGGCAGCAGCAAAAATGCCTGAGCTTGAGTCCTGCACAGAATAAAAGGGAGAAAGCCCACTGAATAAAAACATTCATTTCTCTGTTTATTGACTGGAGATGCAATGTGATCGACTGTTTCAAATGCCTGTGGCCCTGACTTCTCTGGCATGACAGGCTGTTCGTTATTCCAGAATCAGCCCTTGCTCCCTAAAGTTACTGTGTCAGACTACTTCATTGCATCACCAGGAAAAGACAAAGTCAGGCTCCTGGTGGGGGGTGGGGTGGGGAGTAGTGGGGTTGGGGAATCTCTGTGTGACTTCTCTGCTCAGATGCTTTTTTTCCTGACTTTCATGTTTCTCTACATTCTATGTTAATAGCCTGCTCTGTCAGGCACAGCGGCATATGACCACAGTCATAACACCCAAGAGGCTGAGGTAGGGAGCAAAGTAGTTCCACACCAGCCTGGGCTAATTCTTAAGAAGATCCTGTCTCAAACATAACAATCAAACAATATAAAACAAACAAAAAACAAACTAACAAAAATATCTACTAAAAAGGCAGCCTTCCTCTAAGTCATCTCTCTATCCTTCAAAGACTCCTGAGAGTTAGTGCACCTACATCCTCCCATTTATCTTAGAACATCTTGAGATTTTCCCACCCACCTGGTCATTTGTTAATTTAGTAATGCATCTTAGAAAATAAATTTAATGAGAAGAAAAAACTTCATTTGTTTTATTATATACCTAGTACTGTAAATGGTAGTTGACACATAGTAGGTGCTCAAAAAAGACTTGTGGAATGAACGACTGGATCATTTGGAAACAGTACATACTTTGAAATATATATATATATATATATATATATATATATATATATATATTCTTTTGAAATATGTGTGGTGATTTGTGATTTTTTTTTGTGCTCTAACAAACAAAGTTTGCCGATGATCAGAGGATGGAGCTAGCCAACCATAGAAGCCAGGCAATGTTGGCACACACCTTTGATTCCAGTGCTTGGGATCTCATGCCTTTGATCCCAGGACGTAAGGGGCACAAGCCTTTACTAGGGAAGTGAAGACAGCTCTATTCAGCCTGACAATTTGTAGGGACAGGATAACCCCTTTGGTCTGAGAATTCAGTAGAGGTAAGAGCTAGTAGCTGGCTGCTCTGCTTCTCTGATCTTTCAGCATTAACCCCTATATCTGACTCTGGTTTTCTATTATTAAAACCAGTTAGAACTCTCTCTCTCTCTCTTTGTCTCTCTTATACACACACACATACATACACTATATGTATAGTATATGTATATGCATATGTATATAGTATGTGTATGTATGTATATATGTGTGTGTGTGTTTTAGAAATGTATATTTTTGCCTTGTTAGCTTAGAAAAATACTTCAAACTTGAACATAGTGTATTTATTTTCTCTCAGTGTATAATGAAAAATGGTAGATTACAACCATACCATTTTAAAGTCTGAAATATGGCTGAATGTACAATTGTGCACAGAAGACATTACCTGCCCCAGTGGTGGACACTAGTTTGGGCTTGCTTCGAGCACCATCTCCTTTGGTGGTATAAGCTGTGACAGTGAGGGAGTAGGAAGTTTCAGGCTGCAGCCCAGAGATGATCATTTCCTGAAATGACACACATGAAAAACACATACTTAAAGCATGCCAGGGAGAGCCTGGAGAAAATCAAGGTATCTGATGTTGGTTCTGTGCATGCCCGGACATGCCCTGTAGCCATGCTAAGTGATCAAGTTCCATGCCTTCAGCTCATGCTATGAAGATGGGTCTATTTGTTAATAGTGAGGGTGGGGATTCACACATCTTTAGAATAGCTTTCAGGGGGAATAGTTAAGAAAGAAACCTGGAACCAGACATCCTGACACACTTAAATTTAAACTTTCTTAATTGTTTAATTAAAAATATCATGATTTGGTAATCTAGGAATGCTTATCTATCTACATTTACATTTTCCAACTCAGTTAAAATATTAGAACCACAAGGGTCAGTTGAAGATAAGTGAAATGCAGAAATGTATTCTGATATACTAGCTGTTACTTGGTGGCAGCATTTTTCCCACACTGATGCCACATAGTGGTAGCTAGACTGTTGACAGGCAGGTGTAATCATGGAATGTCTTCCCCTAGGAAGTTGCTAGGTAATGGTTGACCTGTTGGATCTAGATATTGTGAGGCCAAAGAACATTTTTAAGATGTCAGGAAATTATTGCTATTTAGTTAAAAAGACTAGAAATAAAAGATCATACAATAAAGAGAATATTCTGGATATTTAGTTACTAGGCCATACAAATAAGAATGAGACGAGTTCATAAGGTCAGTAATGTTTACTTAATTATTTCTGATGATTCAGAAAAGGTCCAAATGACAAACTATCTGCACATTCTGAGTTTTTCTTTAATGAGGGCCCAGAGCTATGAAGGCTCTAAGACTGGATGATCATTGAACTGTATTTCTAAATTAGATATTATATGATTCTTCAGCTAGAGCTCTGTCTAGTGACTTGTTCTGATGTTTTCCTTAGATCTTTACATAATACACACAAACATACAGAGCATATACAAAGCAATTAACAAGCTATTTTACTTTTATGCATAACTATGTTTTCACATTGACTATGAATATATTTAATAAAGTATTCAATGTCATAATCTTCCAAAGCTAATGGCAATATGAATGAGTGAGTGTGATGGACTAGACCATGACAAATATAGCAGAAATTTTCTTAGCAAAGCAATTTATAGGTACCATGGAGTATAACTGCTGAAAGTGATGCCAGATATGACAGATTTGACAAGGTACTTTCTCAGAAGAATAAGAATATCATCATTGTGGAAATTGAAACAATTCCAATATCATTCTGTTGAATGCTTAAAGATTTATTCAGGCACATAAATGGACTTTTTAAGAAAAATATGTTTTATCTTCAGAATCTTGAAATGCTTTTGCTAACATTACAGAGGACATCCAGACCAAGTAACTACTTTGCAGCAGTGTTATACAGTATAGTGGACAAACCGAATATTTCAGAAATGATGATGACATAGATGCTAACTTCCTTCAAGGTCTCCCAAGGTTAGCAATGGGTAGCAGACAACCTTCACATATAGATGAAATTAGTCATCAAGTGTGGGGCCACTTTAATTACTTATAGGGTTTTCATCCATAAAATTAGGGATGGCCAGGTGTCTTTCTCTTTGCTCAGGTTGGTATAGGACATAGTAATATACACCAAAACAGTTCAAGTCCTTTGTACTAGTAAAGATCAAGCAGCACAAAACATAACTACAACAATCATGATACTATGTGGGCTACGTTCCCTGATTTTAAGTAAAAAACTCTTGCATTGTGCTATGGGGCAACTCTGTGAGGCAATGTGACCATGTCAAGGTTCCTGCTGTCCCTCATCACCTCCTGTCCCATCTGCACTCTTGCCTCTTGAAAGTCTGTGTCCCTAAGGGTCTGTCCCAATGCTGTCAGCCTCATTCCTAATCTTAGAAAATGCCGCATTTATTTTGGAACCTGAAATAATTATTTCTCCCCACATCCCAAGTTAATGTGCACTGCCAACTTGGCCCTTTGCTCCAAGTAGCAATGTAAGGGAAAATCTGCTTGGTATCTTCCTGTGGCTTTTTCAGGGTTATCTCACCTTAAGTTCAAGTTGAAAAACTGGGAAACAATCTCCAAAGTAGACTTTGCCTTGTTGCATGTTTTAAGGACAGATGATACCTCTTTAAAATTCATGGGCTACTTTTGACCTCATTTTCTTCCTTAAGTTCTTCATCAGTAAGTTTCTGTCAATTTTTTATTTAAAATGTTGCTTCCTTTTCAATTTTTGTTGGATTTTAATCTCCTCATGAGTAAATTAGAAAGTAACTGTTTTATTTATATTTTCTGTCTTTTTATGATCCAATTTATCCATTAAGTCATTATTTTTATATGAAGTAGTGACCCATTCAGTGGGCCAGGAAATTATATTAATCAGCCAAGACCAGTTTTAAGCAAAATAAATGCAATGGACCTGAGTACAAAATGTTGAGTTTATAGTAGATTTAAAGATAAGTATGGCTTTATAAAACTTTTATTTCTTTCAAATATGTACTTGAACTTATCATAAATATTTCTTACTATGGATCTTTGTCATTTAAATTCTGCTCTGCACTAAATTTTATGAAACCTGATACACTATTCATATTTCCCCAAAACTCCAACAGGAGCTTTGTGCTTTGGCAATAAATATTTATACATTAAGTCTCATGGCACCCAGTGGCTACATTTGCTAACATTTAAAACACTTTGATTTGTATTAGGTTTGTATGGTCATTGTTATAGCATTATCATATCCATATGATTTGAGTATAGTATAGTAATGAATACCAAAGGATTACTAAATAGTAATTCTACTCAGTCTAAAAACAAGAAAATGCTCTTTGTAATTTCTGTATTATATTTTTTTAAATTATTTTTTTCAATACATCTCCAGGATAAAGGAATGAAACAATTCTTAATCTTCTACTGATACCTCAGCTGTCAAACATTTACCTTTTTGCTCCATTCCACAGCAATTTTATTACAAAAAGCTTCTATGTGTGTCCAATGAGCAGTTTCATTGTCACAAGACCAAAGGTCAGTCCCATTGACCTCCATTGGCTGCACCCACTGAGAATTGCTATGACCAGTGAACATTTCTTCCTTAGATCCAAATATACACAGATACTCTCACCTATGGAACTGCAGATCATCTCTTCCATTCTCAAATATACTGTCATCCCTAGCAGTTATCTCTGAAATTATAGCCCTATTAGTATAGCTATTTATTTCTAAGACATGGTGGTTTTATTTATGGCATTTCTTTGGCTGCATTTCATAACTGTTTCAGAAATTTTTATATGTTTCTAGACTACTTTCTAATTCTTGTAAGAACTTAGATGGCAGATTTTCTATCACATGACCATCTTGCATAGAATAAGCCTTTTAATGTTAACTTAAACTTCTCATACAATTTAAAGAAAATCCTCCTTCTGTGAGACTCTTTTTACTTCTTGACATGACCAAGTATTTGGTATTTAATTTTTTCTATATGTGACAAAATTTAGAAAGGGCTAGGGGGAATTAATCTGTTTCAGGTCTATATTATGTGACATAGTGACTGTATAACCCAAGTGTGGAAAATATTAGTAACATCTGCAATCACTCCATCTAAAGCATGCTTCCTCTAATTGTGTCATAAGGAATAGTTAGTAGCAGAAATCGAAGTAAACACTATGAGCTCATGACCTTCCTTATGCAATCAGTAGCACCATGCTCATTTTTATAAAACCAGAAACAGACTGAAAAGTGCATACATAGTTAAGACCAATTAAAAATAGTCCATTAGTTCATGCAACCAAGCAAATGTGATAACAAATCATGAGCGAGTGAAAGACTGATGTTGAAAAAAACACAAGCATATAAGGTCTGATTTTTTTTCAAACAGTAAAATTTTACTCACATGTTCAGTAGTATCATCAAATTCCCACTGATTGAGGTTAAGGAAATGGGGGAAAGGGACAAAATAAAAAGAAATGAAGAGAAACTTGTACCCTTATAAAGATGATGTTATCCTTTAATTTAAAATAGGAAACTGCATTCACTAAAACAACGTATACACTAACACTCCAAAGAATAAATGCATTATGACATAGCCATTCTTACCTTAAAAAAATTAAGGTAAATATGTGTCATTGTTATTACTCAAACTAGCTAATTTTTATGAACTATATGGTTTACTAAAGAAGCCAATACAGCACCTTACAATCTAATGTTTCTGACCTCATATTACTTTATGCCATCAATATTTACTTCTTCCTTGGATTGTGTAATTAATCTGTTAATATTTTAGTTACTTTTTTATACTGAAATCATATATTTCAATGAAGACTTGCTAGAGGTAGTTAAATTTCAACAAGGAGTCAAGGAACAAGAGAGAAATAAAGAAGAGAAAAATTAGGAAAAATTAATAGACAAATGTCAAAATAGAAGAGAGAAAAGATATAAATTTATTAGCTATATAAAAAGAGGCAGAGAGAGAGATGAGGTTTATAATGTAAAATAGCTAAAACCAAAGAAGAATATCAAAGCATCATCATGCTTTTGTTTTCCAAAATTTGAGATTATAAAATAGCAATAATACCTTTATTATCATTATATGATAGACTCATTCTACTTTAAAAGCAGTATGATATAAACAAAAATGTATAAAAATCATGTTGACTTTTGATGTCCCTCCACTGTTTGAAATTGTTGTACTTTCTGGAGTTTATAATTATCTTTTTGAAAGTAAATATTTAATAACATCTTTTCATTCATCTTCCAAAATATTTCTTTGCTATGCATCAATTTTATTCAAATGACAAATGGAAGTATGAATAAAGGAACTAAGGAACTGGAAGACAGTCGACATATCAGTGGGTACAAGTCTAAGGTAAAGTTGGCCCCAAAGACAACTGTGTCCTGCCAGACTTAAGCCACAGAAGTGAGCCACAAATTTAGATCCTTTCAAACCTTTTGTTAGGATGCCTCAAAATAGAAGCAAACAAAAACACTTTGTGAGTTGACAACATAAAAAGTTTTTAGGGTAAATGTTTTCATTAGCATTGTAGGGATACATATTTCCTCATATATTTCAGAGATAAAACTGGATAACTCAAATAAAAGTTTTCATTTGGTTTCTGGTCATTTATATGTTCACAGGAAAGGTATTTTTATTTCAAATTTTAAATTTCACAAACCCCATCATTTTTCCTGCTCACCCACCATGGGCTTATTTGAAACATCCAGTATCTTAAATATCCTATAACCACAGGATCCCACCAATGTCAGTACAGATACGGCAAGCTAGGCCCTAGACTATGTACCATTTCCAACAGAGCAGTTATACATTGAAGTCTTCCTTTCCCTCCCAGGAAAATATCTGAGGAGCAAACAGATTAATCAAGCATTCATTTGGGGAGTTACCCCTAAAGTAGAGGGAAAATGAAAATGTTAGATGCTTTGCTTTGAACAACTGTCAGGCAGGGATACTGTGGTTGGGAAACACTTCCCTAAGGTCAACCAAACATCTTACACAAGCAATTGCTAATTATTAGTAGTTGCTTTTGTTTGCATGGACTGTGTATGCAACAGTGTATATATGATTGCGTGGGTGCATTTATGTGTGAAGATTCATGCACACCTGTGTGATTGTGAAGATCAGAGGACCACTTGGGATATTATTCTCAGGTACTGTCCACCTGCTTTTGAGCAAGGATTTCTGACTAGCCTTGAACTTGTCAAGAATGCTAGATTGTCTAGCCAGAACATATAGCTATTTCTGCTTTTCCAGTGCTGGGATTACAAGTATATGTTACCATACCTGGTTTTTTCAAAATGAGGGTTTTGGTAATGAAACTTAGGTTCTAGTTGGAAAGACTTTACCCACTGGACATTTCCCTAAGCTCCATAGTAATTTTTTTAACTTGGTCCAGTACAGGAGATCATGTTTATTCTCTTGGAAACCTTAATTTAATTTTTATCATCTATGTCATTATCTTCACCGTCTGGGACAGGAGACAATTATTCTCATAAATATGTGATCTGATGAAATACTAAATAAAATACTGAGTTTTGTTTTCTGCATTAAAATGCCTGTTCTCTGGTGAAAGAATCATGCATTAAGAAATTAGATCAACCTCTAAACAGAGCTTAAACAGAGCAGAAGGTAGATCCTATTGGCAAAGCTGTAGCTTGGAATACTTTCTTTTGATTAAGTTAAACCCATTTCTTATTGAAATTAGAAATGTGAATTTGAACACAGATATAAAGAATAGAACACGTATATTTTAAAGTGACTTTTTATCAAAATTAAAAGGATTTTATTGCAGTTTATTTTTAGTTGATATTATTTCTAATTGAAAAGGTAAATATACAGCAATGGGTTTTAAAGTCTAAAATTTATGTAGGTTTTTAAAATAAAAAAATTAACAATTTGGCCAAGGCTAGAAACAATGTTATTCAATAAAATAGGCTCACCTGTGCATCAGCCAGCATGATGTCCTTCAGCATAGGCTGGCCCTTGGGCTCGCCGTTTTCCATTCTCACATAGTGCACCTGATATCCTCTTATCTGGCCATGCTGCTTATTGGGCACAGGTGAGCGCCACGAGACTTTAACAGCCGTGGCATTGACAGCCTCCACCTCGACTTTTCGAGGAGGACCACTGGGAACTGCAACAACATCATGGGTAAAAGACAATTACAGGCACTTGCCACCCAGCAAGAGTGCTTTCTTTACTTAAAAATGGGTAGACCCACTATGCTTCATTGAAGAACACAAACATCTTCAACTAGGGAAAATGCTCAACCAATCTGCTCTATATTTTAAGAAAAGATCAAAAAGCATGACCGATGCAAAAACCAAAATGGAAGAAAAAAAAAAAAGAGTATCAGAGAAATAGAAAAACATGTAAAAAAAAATGTACAAAAGCCAAGGAAGATGCTTTGAGGTCCAAAGCATTAAAGCACAAAGAAGTATTGCATTGAAATAATAACAAAAACAGATTGTTGATAGTTGTGTGTTTTTTAAAGTTTTCAGTTTTAATAGCAGAATAAAAAGATTCTTGACTATATGGATTCTTCTTTTTTTTTTTTTTTCTCATATCAAAAGGTCGTTCCATACAAGAGATGCCAAAAATCGCAAGACAAAAGACAGTAAGAAGGTGGCAGTTTTGAAAGTTAATTCCACAATGAAATAGAATTCAATAAAAATGCCAACAAAAATACAGGAGCCTTGAGATGGAGGTACAGTGAAAATCTGGATCATAGGACCATAGTAGCAAAGTGTCCCTTTAAAAGACAGAAAATTGTTGAAATTGAAAAAAGAAAAAAGCCCAGGATGTAAGAAAGGCAGGTCTTTGGCAAAAACAGTTACATAATAAAAATATTGGATCAAAAATGATGAGCAGAAAAAAAAGAGAAGATAACTGTTAGCCTATCAAAAGCAGACCCAGACTGTGTCAGAAGTTGGAACTGATGGAGCGGAGGCAACATACCATCTTCATCGGTTCGAATCAACACGGACAAGCTCTCAGGGCCAGGGCCGACATCTGTGTGGGCAGTCACTGTGATCCGGTATTCAGTCCATTTTTCCAGCTGTTCCAAAAGGTATTTGGTAGTATCCGAAGGAATTCCCAAAACCTCATGAGGCTTGTAGTCTTCCCCATCCACTGCAGCATACTTGAGGGAGTATTCAGTGATAATGCCATTCTGTTTTTCCACTGGTGGAGGTTGCCAACTTACCAAAATACTAGTGGAACTTGGGCTGGTGCAACTAATATCTTGAGGAGGAGCTGATGGCTCTTATTTTGGTAGTGAGTTAAAGGAGGATTTGAGTGATAGGACAGGAGTGGTTGGAAAAAAAATGATAAAACAGAAAAGGCAAAAATAAATAAATGAACAATAAGGGCAGAAAAACCAAAAAAAAAAAAAAAAATAAACTTAAAATTTTTTTAACATAAATTTATGTACCTTGGCTTAGTAACATGAGTAAACAGAAAATGAATCAATGATCAAAATAACTGTTAAATAATGAATGGGGGAAAATGAGTGAAAATGAAATCTTGTGATAATCGAGCCTCAAATAAAATTACCTACCTGCAATTTAAAAATCTTCTTCTAAACCAACTCCTTGGTAACTCCCATTTCCCACTCTATTGACTAACCCCCCAAATCTAAACTAATTCCATGTTTATAAACTTGAGATTTTAAATGTCATTTGCTTATACCATTCTGTTTGCTCCTCTCCACATTCTGGAATAAAGGAAGCTCATGCCTAGCCTTCATTTATGGAAGGATATTGAAGTGTACAAACGTACAGTCACTGATAGATGCCCTCCTACCACATTCAATCAAGAAAAAAAGAAAAACCCATCAAACATAAAAGGGTTCACCCTCTCTAAAAAATGATCTAAGTCAGCCTGACCAGTTTTAATGAAAAATGTTAATCTAATATTCATTGTAGCCCAAATAAAATGAGCATGCAGAATCATTAAAGGATGAAAATGCACAGGCCAAGATTTACCTACCTAGGGCAATGTCAGGCTTGTTGATTCTGACTGTACTTACCCTGAGTCAGCTTTCAGCTTTTTTATTATAACTCTTCTTGTGACACCATTGCTAGTAAAGAATTAGATCCCACCAGCAAATTTTGGTAAAATTGGTAATAGTCATCTATCCCTTACAACAGGTCAACAATACAGTAATTAAAAAAATACCTATTCACCCCCAAAGAATCACCTAGAAATTATACAATTTATACTCAGTAATTTCATATTTTTGTATACAATAATTTATCTAAAGTAGATTTACATGAGAGTTAAAGCATACACTTTTACTGCCCATTCTAAAAGAAGCCGGCCATCTTCTAAGCAATTATTCCCCATCAAATTACCCCAATACATCACTATGTCAGGAAATATAGACAAAACACTACACACAAAAATCCAAGACAATAGCTACGAAAATATTCAAGATAAACGGAATGGATGTCTAATTGTCAATACTTATTAAAGAGCAAATGATGGTATTATGAGCCATAACACTTTCCATGAAAAACAGTCTTTTAGATAATATTTATGGAAAACAATATGTTCTGGGCATAGAGAAGCCCCATTGTAACAAATTCAGCTGTGCTGCAGCGTGGAGGCTCAAAAGAGATAGTTAAGTTCAGGGAACAAAATGACATTCAGGGAGCAGATGTGCCAGTGATTATTCCATTATTCTTAGATTTATCTAAATGGAGGCTTTCTGTGAATATTCTCAATGTCTACATGAACACTCACAGAGTAAGAAACCAGTTTATGCACTGAGCTTTCCTCCTGACTAGGAACAAATACACGATACTCATTAGTTTTTAAAGAAAATTGTTTTGTATTTTACCACGCTGTACTCTGATGTGCTCTTGCCTGGTTTCTCTGCAGTGCTTTCAACCAGATTTTTTTTTTCCATACAGCTATATCATTTACTGGATGAGGACAGATCTAATTATTGTGCCCATTTCCCAGTTATGGAGGTTGACTAGGTTCACTGAACATTTCCATTTAGGACATGGAAAGCAGGTTCTATTATTTGGATCATGTTTAAACATGTTTAAACATAGGACAGCATAGGTCCTATGTTTCTAACGTCTCCAAACAGGGTATTTATAGCCACAGATACTTGGTGACGCTTCAGCACATTGGCAGATTAGTTTCTTGGGTTTAAAAAATTGTCAGAAACATTTCATATTGAGAACTGGGCAGCAAGGAAGCAAAGAGAGACACCTACTTGATTGCATTGTTCTAGCTGATATTTCAGCCGTAGAAGCACCCAGGCCTTGAGGAGAGCGTGCTGACAAACGGAAGTAGTAGAGGCTGTTTGGTTTCAGTCCTTGCAGCCTGTAAGATGCACCTGGCTCAATGGCGATTCGTTGCTGCAAGTAACAGAAAGAGTTGGTCATTTTTCCTGGGAACTGCTACAAATATGGCTTATTCGATGTTTATAACATCAGACTTCTGGCATAACCAAAATGCCATCAAAATATAGTAAAGAGAATCAACAATATCCAGGAGTGTGTAGGGAATTATATCACAAAGGTGCCACAGTTGAAAAGTATATTTCTACAAATGGTGGTTGAAATTGGGATGCCAATGTTGGTCTTTTCAATGCTGACAATTATCCAACAGCATAATATAAGAGTCAAGGAGAGGACAAAGTTGGATGCTTTCCACTGTAAAGATGTACAAGATACTGTGACCACAAACAAAAGACATCAGCCATCCTTGATCATGTAGAATGATGGAGATGCAAAACTCTTTTCATCACATACTCAGGTTTTCCTCCAGACTATCCATAATCCAAATAAGGGCAAACATCAGACAATTAAAACTAGCAATATTTCACAAGATGTTGTTAGAAAGAAGTGAGAGACTGGGGGCATAGCTCCATTAATAGAGTACAGCATACACAATGTGCACAAAGCCCTGGTTTGGATTTCCTACCATAAAACAACACCAACAACATAAAACAGAAGCAACAACAACAACAAAAATAGATGTGGTGATTTATCCATTCTTGTAGTACCACCATTGGGGAAGTAGAGGCAGGAGAATCAGGAATTTAAGTTCATTTTCAGTTACTTAGTGAGTTTGAGGACAACCTATTTTAAAAACAAACATAAAAACAGAAAAAAAATTTGAAAACCCTAAAAATGATCTCAAATTACTGATGACACTAGAATTATTTGTGACAGTCCTAATAATTTCAAAGAAATAAAACTATTACTGTTGGTTTCTCCAAAAAAGTTGAGAACTTTTTTTTGTGGTTATAAGGCCCACAGCTAAAATAAAATTATATACTTCTCTATACCAATTAATATTATATGGGAGTCTCAAACTAAGATTCTTGTTTATCAAATCTGGGTTTCAAATCTGTCTTTCCATTTTAGCAAAAGTATATCTGTCTATGTATAATCACTCTCAGGTAGTGCATCAGTCCAGAGTAAACATTAAGACATAAACATAGATAATTGAATAGTGTCATAATAATCTTAAAGTTTTTTTTTTCTAATCAACTACTGCTGGATAGTCACACAACTGAATTCAGACAAAGACAATTAAATATAAACATATAGAAAACTTTTTCAGAGTGCTCTGGCTTTTAAATATAAGGGCACTTAGAAACTTCAGATATACCAAATAAGAAAACAGAATTCTGTCACCTAAACAATTGTAAAGCACTGTAGTACATGGAGAGCTAGTACCCTCTCTAGTCCCAAGGGACCATCATATACTCAACTCATCATATGAATGAAAGAATAAAAGAACAAAGGAATTTTCATTTGGTGTTGATGAGGATTTAAATTGACTTAATATTGACTTACTGTATATTCCTCAGGAACAATAGTGTAGGTTTTGAGATTTTACTGTGAGTAAACACGATTGTTTTCCAATAGTTAATTGATATTGCTTTGTTATCTGTGTTAGGTAGGTGTTTTTATTTTTTATTTTATTTTATGTATTTATTTTGTTAACTTGAAATATGCTAGGGTCACCTGGGAAGAGGAAACTGCTATTGAGGATATATATGTCTCCATCATACTGGCCAATAGAGAAGTCTCTGGGACATTTTCTAGATTAATTATTGATGTGGGAGGACCCAGTCCACCATAGGCAGTAGCACACCTGACATGTGATTGGGGGCTGTATGAGAAAATAAGATGAGCAAGCATGGAGCATGGGTCAGTTAGTAGCATTTGTCAATGATTTATTCTTCAGTTCTTGCCTTCATGTTCCTGTTTGGGCGTTAGCCCTAATGTTTCTCAGTGATGGATTGTGGTCAAGATAGCTGGGAATCCAGCATGGGACTGACTCAGAACCACTGAACATGGGTCTCAGCTAGAAGGCCTGAGCAGTGTAAGGGACCTCAGACAGTGGAATCAGGATATAATCCTGGTGTACAAAAGGACCTTGAGGACACATCCCCATATGGAGGGATACTCCCTTATCCTAGAGACAGGAGAGAAGTCCTAGTCCCTACTTCAAATGAATTGACAAATTTAGTTGACCCCTCCTGGATGGCATCACCCTACATGTAGAGTGGGGGGGGGTAAGAGGGGAGGGTGGTGGAGTGCATGTGAGGGGGGAGAGAGTTAAAAAGGGAGAGGGGAGGGAGGGAGAGAGAACTGGCATCTATATGTAAAAGAAAAACAAGTAAGTAAATAAATAAAAAAGATATGTACCCCAAATAAACCTTTACCTCCAAACTTAACTAACACAGCAACTGGTTCTGAGAGTGTGCTATTACTGGGATGTATCTGACCATGTTGTAGGTTGCTTTTGGTGGGGGTTGGTAGAAGCATTGAGAAATTTGGGTTGGAAAAACTCAGAGCTTATTGAGCGGTTCTGGACAAAGTTGAAAGATAATGGAAACAAAGCAGATAATGGAAGACTGACTGGTGAACTCTTAGAGGGATATTTGGGAGTCTCTCAAAGAGTTTTAGATCTCTGGTAGTGCTAAGTATACATATATTGTGTTTCATTTCTCTTTTGTTTTCTATAACATAAAAATCTATTATTTAACTGTACAATATATTGTTTGTGTATATATGTGTGTGTGTGTGTGTATGTGTATGTGGGTAGTCATATGCATATCAAATAATGTTTAGCATGACAGCAAACATTTGCTATGGGCATCTTTCTCTTGACTCAGTCTGAACAAATCCATCTCCTTTATAACTTTTAGAAACTCATAACTCTCAATCAGTCATGTGTTTACATACTGGTCTAAATACATACTATGAGCTATTGCAGAAGAAAAGTGAAAGTGTCCCTCTTCTTCCTAGATTTTCCTTGACTTCATGCCTGTATAGTAAGAAACCTGGGGGCTGAATCAAAAACGTTTCACTTTGTATCATAGTTTTTATGGCTGTCATCCTCCAAGTTTCCAAATAGCCATTTGAGTTTTGGTCTATTTCCTCTTTTTCATGAGTAAACCTTTTCCTCATAGAAGAAAAGATTCCTAAGTCTTACCTCTTCTCCTTGCTCCCCATCTCTGTAGACCAGTTCATAACTGGCAATGGTATCTGAACGTGGCGGTGTCCAAGACAGCAAAATACTTGTTTCAGATTCAGGTTCTGCTTTGAAGTTTAGTGGCTGTCCTGGTACTAAAAAGAAGGAGGCAAGCTACTGAGCTCATCATCACCACCATCATTCAGACACTCTTCTGGTTAAGTAAATGTTACCCATAATAAAGAGAGAGTCCCTTCCAACCTCAAAGAAGGTCTCCTTGCAGAAAACTCATTTATACTTCTCAAGAGGATAATCATAACATACTGAATATTGTCCCATTTCTTGAGCAGTTTAATATGCACACAATATGAAATAGAATTAATAGGCTCATTATATGCATATCTCAGAAATCAAATACAAATATAGTAAAATTATGGACTTCAAATAACATATTAAAATATATTATTCATATCATATACACAGATAATCCCTAACTACATTCTCCATATTTGTTCTTATACCCAGAAATAAGTGTAGTTCTCTTTCTTCATCAAGGAAACATCTCTCTGCAACAGATGGAGAAAATTACAAAAACCCAGAATCCATCGAAACTCAGTTGTGGAACACAGTCCCAACTGATTCATCTATAGCACAACTCCTTCACTTATGGCTCATGAATCATTGAGGATGAGGGAGCAGAAAAAAATGTAAGAACCATCTGAATGGGGAGTATGCTCTGAGATTTTGGTTCCTAGAAATGCCAAAGGTTATACCCATGAAGTTTCATCAATATGGCTGCCTAAACATGACCTGAACAACGATGATACCAATAAACATGCTAATGTAGAAAAGGTAAAGCTCAGGAGGCTTCAACCCTACACTAAGAACTACAGACAACTATGTAAGGACTGCAGAAAGCAGGGGAAAATAGTCTTCCCCAAGAAAGAGCACATCAATTTGTTTTCCAATGCCAAGCAGTCAGCCCTGAAATTAATTATATACAGAACAATAACATTGTACAGATAAATCAAGTTTTCTTTATATATTTAGGAATACACACACACCCACACACCCACCCCCCCACACACAGAGAGAGAGAGAGATAGAGAGAGAGAGCTACACATAACAACAAAGAGAGGCCATTAATTCCAGAGAGTAAAGTGGGAGGTATATGGAAGTTTGCAGGAAGGAAAGGGAAGGGGAAATGATGCAATTATATTATAGTCTCAAAATCTAAAAGGACATATTTTTAAAATATACCTAAGAGAAATTAAAACTAAGAAGTACTAGTTATATAAAAACTTTCAATATTTACAACTGAGAAAAAAAACACTGAAAAATCTCTAAGCTTCATATAATATTTGGTATTATTTCCAATGTGGTGGTTTTGGTAAAAAAAAAAAAAAAGCCTCTAAAGTCTCATTGGGAGTGGCATTATTTGAAAGGAATAGGATATGTGACCTTATTGGAGTAGTTGTGGCCTTGTTGAAGGAAGTGTGTCATTGGGGTGGCTTTGAGGTCTCAAAACAAGGCCAAGTGCCTCTGTTCCCTCCCTGAAGACTACCCTGGATGTAGTCCTCTCAAGCTCCTTCCCCAGCACCATGCTTCCTGCCATGATGACAATGGACTAAACCTCTGAATTGCAAGCCAGACCCAACAATTGTTTTCCTTTATAGAAGTTGCCATGGTCATGGTGTCTCCTCACAGCAATAAAACCCTAACTAAGACACTTATTTTTGTTTATAAAATTCTACATTGACTCCTTAACAGAGACTCCAGGCAATAATAACCCCTCAAAAGTTTATCTTGTCTAGTGTCATTTTACAAAAGAGTTAGGATAAAAGGAAAACAAAGCTTTATTAAGTACAAATCATCACGTCTAACTCCTAGATTAAGTTAGAATCTAATACATAGATTGAACACAAGCATAATAGTATCCCTACTGGCTTAGTCCTAAACTGCACACAAACTAGTGAGATTCTAAGATGTACTTATCAACAGATTATGTTAACAGAAGTCAACTATGATTATCTTATGTCAGTCTTTCAGTCTAACTGATGATTTGAAAGAGTCACACATGAGAAATAATAAATAATTAAAACTAACAGCTTAAAATATTGTACCCAATGAAGTTTAATAATCCAAACTTCCATATTAGCACATAATCACATTAGCTATGCTCAAGCTGTGAGATTAAGGTACACAGGGCCCCACTGCTTTTGTAGCTGTCTGCTCAGATTGTTGGTGCTTATGCCCTGGCTACTTGTTCAGTAATTTAACGATTACCCTTGATATTGAGGAATGTCACAAATGTGTGACTGAATTTTTCTATATTTTCCAACACTCACATGAGCAATGAAGTATATTTTATAAAATCTAACAACAACAAAAATAAAATAAGAATAAATATAAGGCACAGCAGGGGGAAATGAGCTTCTAAAGCATTTTTCTGGCAACTTGAGAATACACATTCTCAAACACACACAAAATAACATGATTCGTGGACAATATATGACATAAGTTACAAATAATGCTTGAGATAAAATTTTCACAGGAACTGAGGTCTTTGGAGATATGGAATATATTGTTTTTCTTTTACAGCCATCTTTCTGCAACTTGATTACAGAATAAGAAAACCTCACCCGTGTTTTCTTAAAGGGATTTAAGTTCTATTTCTAGTTCTAGCCAGCAGTACAGGGCCTTGCCTAGGTGTCTGTGCATGCTGTGAAAGGGGAGTTCACACATGTTTGTACTAACAAAGCCACAAACATTCCTTGTCTGCCCCCCCCTTCCCATTCCCCTACCCCAAAGCATATGCCTACACCTTGAGATTCTCATTAATCTGATGCCTCAAGGAACTGCCTTCCAAACAGGTTACCATTCTTTCCCAGTGAGTGACCTCACATAATCATTCATCTAGAAAGACCAAGACAGAGGAACATTAAAGATCAAGAGGCAAAGCAAGGGGCCACGAAAGAAATAAAAGCACTTGGTAACTGGCAAGTGGCAAATGCATTATCTAAGGGGTACAAGTCAAAAGCTTGCCTCATGCTACAATGGTTGCAAAGAGACATTGGGCAGGTGGGATAATTGTGACTGGGTTCTAGTACCAAAAAAATGAAAGGTTTTCTTGGTGTGGCACACAGTACATACACACACATAAAATAATTACTAATTCTTCTATACTTTTTGCTTATTTCCCACAAGTCTGTGCAATAGCAAAGTTAATGTGTGACTCAAGCCAAACTAGAACCTTGATGGGGAGGGGTTGCCTTTCTGTACATATGTTTCTTTATTTGTTAATGAATAAAAACACTTTTCAGCCAATGAGGCAGTAAGATAGGTGGGACAAGATGAGGAGAATTCTTGTAAATGGTAGGGAGGAGCCTGTGAGAATCTTCATGCTGCTGGAGGAGTAACGCCATGAAGGGCATTACTGGGTAAGCCACAGTCTAGTGGCAATACCCAGATTAATAGAAATGGGTTAATAATTAAGACAGAGCTAGATAATAAGAAGCCCAAGCTATTTGCCAACAGTTTCCTAACAAATAAAGTCTTTGTGTGTTTATTTCAGGCTCACAGGCCATGGGACCTGCAGGGCCAAAAACATTCACCTAACATAACATAGTTCAGATCTGATGTGTAGGAGGAGCCTGGCAGTGTGACCAGTACTTATCCAGTGTGCATTAACTGGCTTTTTAGAGCCTATTTCCTATGATGGGATATACTGCTTAGCCTTGATACAGTGGGGAGGGGTTTGGTCCTGCCTCAACTCTGAGGAGTGGATGATGGAGATAGGGGTGGGAGAAGGGGAGTGAGGGAGAACTGGGGTTTCTATGTAAATTGAAAAACGATCAAATAAAAGAAGAAGAAGGAGAAGGAGGAGGAGTAGAAGAAGAAGGAGGAGGAGGAGAAACACAGACAATCCTAAAGTGGCTCAGGGACAGTCACTAGGTATGGTTTGCTCCTTGCCTAAGGCTAGTAAATTAATACTGACTGAAACCATCGTAGAAACCTAATTAACTTTTGCTTACACTGTTTGGTTTTTGCTTTTAATTTATCTTTCCTGTATTATTGTTTGGTTTCTATGTTTCATTCTTGTTTAGTGGCAAAGCTCCCATTGGTTTAATTCTGTTTAGTTCTGTAAAGAGTTCTTATCACTTAACAAAAAATTGAATAGGAACATCAGCACCCCAGAGGGGACAGGTTCCTTTCCTTCTGTAACTTTTGGACAATGTGAATGTTAGCTAGATGACTTAATGGAAAATCTTGTCACCTAGTATGCAAGAGGCTTTTTCTTCCTTTTCTTGTATAGACTCCGTTTGAAGTGGTTTGGTGGGGGAAGCACATTTCTAAACTCCTCAGGTAAGAGGTGAATACCTACATGAGGAAGGATGGTGTAGGTGTGCCTCAGGCCATCAGGAAGGTACATGCCTAATGGAAGAGGGACATCAGATATAACTATGCCTCAGCAGATTGCTACCTTGTGGAATGGAAGCCCAGCTAAACCCAAGTATCCTTATTTATTCAAAAGATATTGCTAATGTATTTTATACATAAAGAGCCTTTCAATTGTCAATGGATTAAAAATGGAATTTAGAAAAACAATGCATGAGGAAAAATGCTTCAGTAAGTTCAACTCAGTGTGTATATCAGAGCCATACAGTATCTTTTCATTTTACCATCCTGATAAATAGGCGATGGATACAAAGAATCAAACTTATTGGCACCTGAGGGTGGAACAACAAAGGTTATCATTTCCTTGGGTTCAAATTTTAAATTAGAAACAACCAACACAAATTGAAGATACATAGGGAAAACAAAACTACTCAGAAATGAATATCTGTATTCTTAAATTGCCAAACATATTGCCTTCATGCTCATAATAAAAATATACAGGGGAATACTTTAAGAATACTCAAAAGGAACATATTTGGTTTCTTCAGAATACTCAGAGACAAGGAATACTTTTACACCTCTCAACTGATATTGCATATCAAATTTCATGCCAGAACAAGACCTATTTTATATTCTTGTTTTTGTAATATGCAAACACATATACTGACATCACAAATTTATAGACATATCTTCTGATATATGCATATATTTTTTCCTGTTAGTCTTGACACATTATTGACATTCTTTAATCTTCATATACTAGGTTTATTTTATAAGCATTGTATGTTGTTTTACTTGAGCTATTTTCTCTGTTGTTATAGTCCCTGTACAAATTAACTGGACATCAAGGATAGGGAGTCCATGGTGGTCCTCAGCAGCAGACTGAATTCAAAGTCAGTCTACATTAAATCCTCTTAAAAGAGTCTGGAGATGTTCTAAATGAAGTCACAAAACCTTTCTAAAGAAATCTCAGAAATGACACAAACCAGAATTTAAGGTTTACCATGTCCCATTAGCATTAATTTCAAGCAACAATTATTTTAATGTCTTAAAGATGTAGTTCCTAAGACTTCTTTATCTGTTCTTTGTTCCTTCTATCAAACACAGTCAGCATATATTACCACAATAATCAATTCCAGAAAACTATGGAGTATATTCTTTTCTTCCTGGATATTTTAAATGAAATGGAAGGGGTGTGTATCACAGGATAAATGTTTTTCTTTGCAACATTCATCCATTCTGTATGTCCTCGAGGAAAACTAATTTCAAATGAATAGTACATCAGCAAATAGAGAATTTGGGAATTGAGGAGGAGTGACCCATATTTCTAGAAAACAATAATTTTATCAAAATATACTTCATATCTAAAGATTATTATAGTTCACTGTACCAATATTCACAGCCAAGAATTACTCTTTTGATTGAATATGAAATAGGTATCACGTTTTGACTTTCTTCACTACTAGGAACATACTACACATATCTATAATTTCTATCCATCTGGATGTCAGTTACCATAGAGGAAATGCAAAGTGATAACTTCTCTCTTAAATTCACTTTGTTCTCCAGGATTGTTTCACTTATTTATTCGTCTTTGTATCGAAATTTTAAGAAATGAACAATATTGGTGTTAGGGGATTCACGATAAAATGAAACAAGCAGGTGTCAGACACAGGAGATGTCAAAGTGTGCTTTTCTGTGTCTTTATAATTAAAATATACTTAAAGTATTTTGAACAGTATTGTTTTGTAGTCTTACTAAAGACAAAAATCATAATGAAAACTATGATTTTCTTAGATTTGTATATAACTGCTCTAAAGGAATGTTTTATGATGGTAACATACTCTTGTGCAGCCATAATTCTAGGAATGAGCTCATCATTGAGGAATAGGAGAGGACTCAGTATCAGAACTGACACTCCTGCATTTGATAGTGGCCACTAACATCGAACTACCTTTGTTAATGAAGTCTGCAGGACACATCCAATCACTGTGCTATGTGGGAGGTGGGAGTTTGTATTAATCTATTGACCTTGGCAGGCTTTAGCTACTCTGCCTTTTCACTTCTCCATGAGAATTCAAGCTACAGTTAAAGGAAGGATACAGGAAATTTCTGTAAGACAGACAGAGAGAGAGAGAGAGAGAGAGAGAGAGAGAGAGAGAGAGAGAGAGAGATGGAGGGAGAGAGAGAGAGAGGAGAGAGTAAAAGCTTAAAGTCACAAAATGCAAAATGCACCTTCATATATTCATGTATATTTTCTAAATTTTGGTACTGAATTAAATAAGACCTTTCAAAAGCAAAATTATTGGATCAGATTAACTTAACTGTTCTTTCACAGATGACATCCATGCCACTGGTAATTAAGAAAATACACTATTTAAAAATAATTTTTTAATTTTTCACTAAGTTGGGATAGAAGGATAGATTTCTATAATTTAATATTCTAAATATAAAAATATTCATGAGTCTTGGGGATTTACATATTTTGACTCAATTTAGTTACAGAAAAAAAAATCTTGTTTTTTTGGGTATTTAAATCCTTTGTCTCCTGAAAATAAATTAAAACATTGCAGCTTGCTAGGCTTAAATTTGTGGTTATAAAATGCAGCCAAATCCAGTGACTGAGCATAATAACTTTTTAAAGAAAAATGCTTATTCTTCATTCAAAACTCTTGAAATATTTCCAAATTGAAATTGAATTTAATCTTTTTAATTTGATAATCTTAAATAATATGAATAAATTAAATGCTCTCCATCTTTATATACCTACTGAATACCTAGTAAGGACAAAACACTAATCTATCACATTAGGAAATTCTTCATTTAAAGATGATGGTGGTTAGAAGTCTCCAGGGTCCTTTGATTTCATTTATACTTAGTAACCTTATAACTTAATACCTAAACCTGTTTCATTTTTTTTGTCTCTCAGTTTACCTACTGCCAAAGACTTATCCTCTCATCCTCTCGCTAGATTTTAAGAATCAATATCCACGAGGTATATATAGCACATGGACTAGCATGTACTAGTTGTTATATTTTATCTATTATGTTTCTTCATTGTGGAGAGAGCTGACATTTATTTCCTTAGAATTTGCAGATGAGGTCCTAGAGCTCCTCACTACAGAGCATCATAAGGGTGGACCAAGTTAGTTAGGATGGAGTTTTTATGTTGGCCCAATCCTTATGACCAATGTTCAGATTATAACATATAATTTCTTTTTTGAGGCAACACAGTATGGAGATAAATTAGGAACAGCATGTTTCTACAAGCTAATGAATGAAACACTGAGAACAAACTATCAGAAGCTCGGGGACAGATAGAGAACACACTCCCCCCCTCCCCCAGTGCTCATAGAAATCAATCCTGTAATGCATTGATCCTAGTTCTTCAGGTCCTAGACCTCTGTGGCAATATATTCCTGATGTTTAAACTACCAAGTGTGTGGTCCTTTGTTGCACTAAAAATAAACAGAACCACAACAAATATTCATTAGAGTTACTCTAACATAAGAGAAAACTGAAATTCAGTGGCTAATAAAGTGTGGCTAATTTTGTTTAAGACAGGGTATCTCTGTGTAGTTCTTGCTATCCTGAAACTCACTGTGTAGACCAGGTGGCTTCAAACTCAGAGATCTGTCATTTCGGCCTCCCAGGTACATGGACTAATGTTTGGTTACCAGTCTTTGCGAGTTAGCAACCTGGAGTTAAGTAGACTTATGGGGGGGGGTGCTAGTGGAAAGAAGGGGAAATTGGAAACCTATTCTTCTTCTGTCTGCCTGTTTGAATTTATCCTGTCTTCAGGTCCAGAGCAGGTTTGCTGTCCAGATAGTGAAGATCCAGGTTAAAACTTAGGAAGTTGTAAGCTTAAATAATTACTACTTCCATTAAGTTATCTCATGTGTTTTTATCACCTTTGTCCAAAAAGGTGACACAAAAATAAACTCATCCAAATTCACCAAGCTTAGCTGTGGCTTAAGAATTGGATTGTGATTATGTAATTCCAACATTATAGTCAAAGTATGAGAAAACCTTAAAGTGGAATATAAGCCCCATTCACTGTCTTGCCAGTTTTACTGGTTTTTGAGCTGCTGGAATCATAAAGGAATTATCTTAAACAGTTGAGACTTTTAAGAAGAGTGTCAAGAAAAAGTAGAAGAATATTCATAGACCTCAAATGAGAACCTTAAGCTTTCATACATTACAGCATTAAAATAATCCATAAACAAGCTCAAAAGAACCACACAACAATAATCAAGCAAAATAAAGTCAAACTCTGTTGTAAACATGCTCAAGACCTAGGAACACAAAGACTGGCCATAAAAACACTGAGTTAGAAAACTGAGGCTACACAAGCCATGAAGGTAAGTCATGAGTGCACTGTATCAATGAAACCAGAGAAAATATATTAATCCTTCATCTTTTTCCTATACTTTAGATAGTGTGTCTAATAGAGTAGTCTTTGTATAGATTCTCAGAAAAAAAAAAATGTAATGCTGTCCAAAGTTTCACAGATTAAAGCAAACTTCAAAGTAAAATGTGAAGTCCTAAATCTCAATCACTTACCTTCATATTATCTTAACTGTTTCTGTCTTTCTGTTCATCTTCCCCACAAAACACCTGCCCCATTTCAGACTTACCTCCTGTCTGGGTGATGACTTGTATGTCACTTGAAAGAGGGCCATCTCCAATTGAGGTAAAAGCTAGGACTTTGACAGAGTATGTTTTTTGGGGTACTAAATTGCCAATAGTAGTGATTTGGCTGTCAGCTACATTGTGTTTCATCCAGTTGTTGACATGCTGGGTGGGGTCCATTGTATAATAAACTCTATATCCTTGGATTTGTCCATTTGGCTCCTCAGGTTCCTTCCACTGTACCAAAATGGTGGTAGAACTCAACATACGTGCCTGGACATCCCGTGGGGCACTGGATGGTGCTTGCTCTGAGGTCTGTGTTAATACAGGTTCACTTGGTGGACCTCGACCAATGTTATTGACAGCAACAACTCTAAATTCATAATCCGAGTAGGGACTTAGTCCAGCAACACTGTAGCGTGTAGTTGCTATCCCATCAATTTCCTTGTATGGTTCTTCAGAATTTTTAGGTTTATGTTGAATGATGTAGTAAGAGACAGGCTCGGGGTTCCCAGAGTCCCATGTAAGTGTGATGCTTGTAGCTGTGCTCTCAGTCACTACTGGAGTTCCAGGGGGCTTGGGTAAGGCTGCCGGACAGAAAAACGACAACATTTTTTCTCAACTATTATGCCCATCACTGTACTCTTTTATTAGCCTGATGAGATTATATTACTACTAAGGGATTTAGCCAGATGAAGCAAAGTAACATGTCCAAAGAGGTCAAGAGAACAGTAAAATACATACAGTTGGCCCAGAATCCATCTTACCGGCACATGTTGATGGCATTTTGGGGGTTTGTATTCAAATCTACACTTACTCACTACGTGATCCTGGATAAATCACTTAATGTCTTTTGGATTTCATGTGAAATTGGGACAAGCTGCATAGGCAGAGTTGCACAGTACTGCAAAGTTGCTGTATTTCATGGGGTTTGCTGTGAAGATTAATGAGCTAAGCCAGTAATGTGCACAGAGTATGTCTGTGCTTTCAAAACCACTAGCTATAATTATTGTAATTTCTATTTCAAATGCTTGGCCATTTAATTCCTGATTCAATAAATTACTATTGTAAATAAATAGCAATAAATACCAATAAACATTAAATATGGAATATATAGAAATTGAATTAAATTGCTATTAAAGGACTAGTTCTGAATGCTTTTCTATTTGTAAAGAACATATGAATTTCTTAGTGTCCTGGCTCATTCATTGTCAACTTGACACAAGTTAGAGAGTTATCTGAGGAGAGGGAACCACAATTAAGAAAATGCCTCCATGGAATTGACTGTGCGTAAGCCTATGGGAGTATTTTCTTAATTGCAGATTGATATGGGAGGACCCAGCTATTGTGAGTAGTGCCACCCATGGACAGGGGGTCCTGGGGCATATTTGAAAGCAGAATAGATGGGCAACCCATGGTACACAAGTCAGCAAGCAGTGATTCTCCAGCAGCCTGTTTCAATTCCCCTTTCAGGTTTCTTGGCCTTACTTCTTTCAATGATGGACAGTGATGTATAAATGAAAGCTCAAATAAACCATTTCTTCCCCAGTTTCTTTTGGCTATTGTATTTCATAATGCAAACAAAACCTGACTAAGATACTTAAAAATAACCTATGTAAAATTATTAAAGTAGAACTATGACAAATTACTTTGCCTGGAAAGTGAGGAGGCATGGGTTGATTGTCAGGAAGACCCATACATACATACACAAACACACAATGCACACACATACCTCCTCTCTTCCTTTCCTATTGGCCAACTGTGCTTTATTTATTAACCAATAAGAGAAACATATTTACAGAATGACGTCTCCCATCACACACATTAAAGGAAGAAGAACAATTATTTTAAGTCACGTCTCCACAATTTTTAAAACTGCTTAGGAATTTAAAACATATTAAGAAATCATATTTTAAAGTATTTTGTCAATAATAAAATGGTTGTATTCTACACTGGTTATATTTAGCTAGTTGACAAACATCTGTATTTAAATATGTGCTTTTAGAGATTGGATTTTTTCCTTTTAACCAAACAAATTTCAGAAATAATCTTAACTGTGCAAGCCATCTTTACTGGTGACCTCATTGGTAAGTTTTAATATGGATAAAAAGTCAAAAACCCCAGAAGATAATGCTTATAATCAAACAATTTCCTGTTAAAAAGACGCCAGCATCACAATACCTCCTAGGATACCAGCTAAGAAACATCTGACATCTTTTCTATTTTTTTCTTTTATCTTTTAGTTTCTACCATTATTGTTCACCTTTGTGGTATGAAAGGATTGTGAAGTAGGAAAATTCAGGACAATAATGATATAAAAGTAAATATGATAATTATTTGGTGTTACTCTCACTTCCAAATTCTTTCATGTTTTGGCAAATCTCAACTATTTGAACCTCAAATGGTTATAATGAAAGTAGGTGGCTTTCTATTTTTGTTTTACTAATATCTATATAACTGCAATATTTAACAAAGAGAATTTATTAATATTAATTGAAAAAGACATTTATTTAATATTGTAGACTGACATTTTGCAAAGTGGACAATTCTGAATGTTACAGGGAAATAAAATTCTTGTTAAATAAGGTTGCATATTGAACTAGCATTACTGGTTGCACTAATACACTTCTGTACAGTAAGGCTGTATGTCTACAATGTGTGAACAAGGATATATATGCTTAATACTTTAAGAATACACAAGACATTGGAATGCAAGCTTCACTGTAGGAAATGTATACTTTTATTCTTATGCAATATGATATACTGGATATATATGTTCAGTTACAGATATGATACCAATTTTAACAAGTGTGGTGTCTTCTGTAAATTCATGCTTCCCAAATGAAATGATTATTTGAGTTCATTTTGAACTAATTCTAGACAATGCCAGGAAACTCAAATCACTCTCACTATGACCCAATTTGTAAGTTTTTTTTTTTTTAGAATTATGTAAGTATTGTATAAAAGAAAGTGGTATTCACACATATTCAACTCCCTTTTTGCTGAAAAGAAAATGTTCACAGAATATAGCACTTTGGTTATATTTAGTACATTAGTTGAAGAAGAGAATATTTCATGAGTATTCATATATGCAAGGTGAAGGACAGAACTAATATAGAACTGATCCATTTGCATTTGCTTCTTAATGGTAGGACCATCAAACAGAGCATCTATTATTAGGTCATACTGATTCTAGCACTTTCTCTTATTTCTGTTTTTTCAGAGATCTTATGCATATAATGACACTCATTAATATTCTTCTTATGACTCCTTTCAAAATCCTGGACCAGTAGAAAGTCTACAGGCCATCCATCTTGCCAGGACAGTAGACCTGGTATAGCATTCCTCATCCTATCTGTTCAGTAACTAAGTCAGACTTGCTGCTATATACATTAATGATTATCCCAAGTTAGACTGCTAATGTTTTAGGAATGAATCTGCAAGTAGGTTGGAGTAATAAGTCTGTGATCTCACTTCTTTAGAGTGCTAAAGCAAAAGATCACTGATTGATGGCTTGTATAGGATACAGAGTAAATCGAATCACAGCCTGTTGTTCAATGAGAACCTGTCAAAATTAAAAACACAAAAGTGCTGAGGATGTAGTTTACTGTGAGAACACTCAGTATTCCAAAAAAGGAAAGAAGGAAGGTAAGAAGAAAACAAGAAAGGCAATGGTGAGAGAAATTGGTCTACCTAAGATGTGGACATTTTATATATGACAGATGAGATTATGTACTATAAACTGAAACACTGAGTGATGAATTTATTCATTTTAAAATCTTGAATCCAGGATGAGCATAACTAAGATTTTCAGATCATGATATTAGCATACCTTTGACAGTGATCTGTGCTATTGCTTCAATGACACCAAGTGTTGACATAGCTACACAGGTGTAATTTGCTGACTGTCTTACATCATTCAGTTCTAGGACATTTCTTCCTATTGGCATATCATCTTCAGGTGTCAGATCTTCTGCCCCCAACATCCACTTCACATAAGGCATAGGTGACCCCACTGCCACACAGGTGATATTAACACTTCCACCTGGCATTATTTCATGATTTGTGGGTGGGATAGAGAATCTTGGTGGAACACGGCGAACTGGAACAAAACAAAAGGCAACATGATAATGTGTACAAGGCAAGAACAAAGCAGCTAGTTAAACACATGACATGCACCATACAGAAATGATTAAACAATTGAATTATACAGTAAATTATCCAAAATCACAACAAAAAGAAAAACTGTGGATAATACAGACCATACAAGTATGGTGTGTGTATACACAGAATCCGTTATTTAGTTTAATCATTGATATCTTAGACACATCATACAACAGTTGATTCAGACCTACATAGGCCCCACACAGAAATGAAATACTATCTACAAATTAACAGTACACAAACACCATGCATAAGATAAACACCAAACTATATACATGCATGCATATAACAATGTTTCTATGCAGGCATGTATATGCAAAAGGCGACAGGAAAGTTATCAACATGTGTGAGTGAGTATCAAGACTGACTTCAGTTCTGTGTACTCCCATCTGATGTGAATGTATGTATGGGGTAGTCACATCCCAGCCCTGGAAAATATCAGCTCGAGTACAGTGAAACAGTGACATTTGCTTTCAGATTTAGAGGGATGGAGACTCAAAACTTCAACTAACAATGGACAAACACAGAAATGCGTGTGTGTGTGTGTGTGTGTGTGTGTGTGTGTGTGTGTGTGTGTCTGTTTCTGTGTGTCATGTGTTTTCTGTATCTCTGTGGTGTATGAGTGTGTGAATAGAAACTGATAGGCACAGAAGAAGAAACATACAACATCAGTATATACTCTACTGTATTGAGTCATGCGAGTCATGCACATGATGGACTCTTAAGGGTCACAGTATCACAATATAACAATATAAGAATGGTTGGAATCCTAGACAAGGACAAAGAAGAAATAGTGGGAAATTAAGAATAACACAAAGAAGGAAGGTAGAGTGTAGTGATTGAGATGTGGACTTGGTTGAAAGTTAGAAGAAAACAGGTTAAAAGATTATAGGGAGGTTGTTACAGTTAAGGATTGAAGACTCGGGAGGGGAGTTCTCATTCAGGATTCCATCCAGCTTGTATATAAGGTTAAATAGCATCAATAACCACAGAATCAAGTAAGAGGAATTTTATTCAAAGTGATGGACACTGGATCTAAAACACACAGCAGGATGTGACATTAAGAGAAGTGACCATTAAAACATGACACAGAAAAAAAATAATAAAAGACCCACTACCAAGCATATGCGGTTCAGTGTTCCTGCTTCAGATAATCTGCATGTTCTGCTGTGTTTAAATACATGCACTTTGACAATGTAAAAAGCTAATGTGAGAAAGAAATAGGTTGTGTCTTGGACTTGAGGGACAAAACCTTACACTGTGAGAACTTTAAACCAAAGGGGCAACATTCCTGAGTATACTGTAAATACAGATAGCAAACAATGATTTTTGCAGTTATAGAAAACGATGTGGAGACAAGCCCTTAACCCCAACAAGAAGGAAAGGGATTCTGTCTGGAAACTCTGGCTACACTTATGATGAGAAAACCTCCGCCTGGAGAGGGCTTGCTACAATGGTGTTAGGGAGAGGGACATTCACAGGAAGGACAGTGCTAAGCATGCCTCCTGCAGTCAACTCAGAGGTTACTAAAGCAAGCAAGGGCCAGCATAGATTCTGAGGCATCAAAGAATATATCAAGAAAAATGGCGGGATCAAGGAACAATTATAAAACATCACCTGGGGGCAGCAGGCAACCTGAGAAGATAAATAAAAGGTGGGTGGGAAATGGGAAGAGTTGGGGTTGGGGATAGGAAAGCAGGAACACTGACCAATGCACTGGACCATAGAGAGTTAAGTGTTACCAGTTCCCATGCACCCAGGTATGTTTTCTCCCATCATGCACTGCATTTAGACACCACCAGCAAGCAACAGAAGCCAAGGCCAGAACATTCTCTGCAATTGTATACCATTAACCAAAAGAAGACCACAGTGCAGCTACATTCATTTCATTTGTATTCTTTGTTATTGGTTTAAGTAATAGTTTTGTTAAGGTGGGTAAAAAGTAAAAAACACACCAACCTTCTCGCAGCTCTGAGGGATGTAGGGGGGTTTGATGCAGAACACAATGAAATGAGGAAAAGGAGAAAAACAAGGGAAACACAGAGAGAGTAAAAAGGCCATATCAAGGCTTTCAACCACTACTTGAACATCGTTAATTGCTCTAGTTTAACTTCCTACCCCAGCTCGAAAAATTAGCAATACCTCATGGACTAATGCAGTATTAGGAACAATAACTAGCATCATTTTGAAATTTTCTATAGAAGAAGGAATACATGCCTCATGCAGCAAAGAAGGTCACCATTGTGAGAAAAAGGATTGGGGCCCTCAAATGATTTAGGGAAGAAAAGGTTCTTAGTGCAAACCACTCCCAGCCCCACTCCCCCCTACAAACTTCACAGAGAAGGAGGTAAAAGGCATCCCCGGGGGCACAAAGTTATACCTGACAAAAATTTCAAAATCAAGCTAGGTATTGTCTTAAGGAACCCCATTCAATAGTACCTAAAATCACAGGCTACAACCATTCCCTCCCCCCACCCAGACCTCTCGTGATTATTGATAATTGTAAACCCAGAATAGAAATATTTCTTCCAGAAAATAAGGCAAAACAAAACCCAGCTCTGAGAACTCTGGAAAGAGAGGTGTACCTTCCAACTGAAAAACAGGTACAGCCATTCCTATGCTCAAGATGGCAAACATTTAAATACTCATGAGAAAATGTGAATGATCCTTTATAATTCATTCTTACTTCACAAAGAGCTAATACTACTTCCTAAAATACAGTCTTTATCCTATGGAAACTGTGTTTTAATTAAAACAGCATAAGAAGAAGGAATGCAATTGTACTTTTTTTTTTTTTTTAATATAGCAACTGTTTTTCTTAATTTGGACTTTATGCCCCTAGCTTCACAGCAGAGGTTATGGAGACATAAACATCTTCATATTTAGAGCTGATTAGTAGTACACCGTGCACTTATCTCAAGGCTTGTAAGGAAACAAATGGGAAACAACAGAAAAAGTGAAAGAAAAGAAGAACACTTCAAACAAATGCCAAGCTCAGTCAGTACAATCAAAATAGAATCAGAAGAAACAATGCAAATAATTATTTACAAACCTCAAGCCTTGTGTAGATTGAAAAACAACAGATTTCAAATTTTAAAGTTTTACTTAGTAAACTGCTTCAGCAATAGTAATCATTACCAAATCCTCTTGTTAAAACACTTTCATAATCACACAGACCCTGTGGGCATCTCTAATCCCCCAGAGCCTGACTGGAGAAGCCATGCCAGGGTTATATCTTTCCTACCTCTGACATATAAATTGGCAGGGGCAGAGTAGCGAGTGCCCGCGCTGTTGGTGGCAACACACTCATATTTCCCTTGGTCAGATTCTTCACTCTGTTCGATCTGCAGGGCTCCTGTATGGATATAAAATATATCACCAAAGGTGTGGTCAGAGAAGGTTTTGAGGTCCAGCGAGCTAAACCTCTTAATAATATGAAAAGCCCTGCAAAGCGAAGGTCCACTCAACGTCGGGTCAATCTCTTGCTAAGTTGCACAGACAGAAAATGATGCGATGAGAAAAACATATAGAGATTATTTTTACATCATCAATGCTAGCATAAGGAAACAATATCTTTTTCCCAAGCAATAATTCTACTCATAATTAGCACTCTTAGCTCCTAGACTAATAAAATGAAGATGGGTGAGACTGCTTCAAGGAAGTATGGCTTTTAAATAAAACAAAAGATTAATATTTGGTTTTGTTTTGTTTCATTTTGGCAACAAAAGTGGCGCAAAAGATAGGTACGCTCAAAAAAACGAGGCTGAATTTTCAAGAAAGTCTTCTGTGGAAGAAAGCCCAAAAAATACGCAGCAAGCACAAAAAGGCTGCACAAAGCAAAAAAAATTAAAATTAGTCATTATCAGTTATGAAAATATCACTTAAAGAAATAAAACTCCCTTAAGACATGCAGACTTTTTAAGAAAAGAAAGACAGTTTGCCACAACTTACAATCATTTCTGACATTTGCTGAAAAACAAAGAGCATTCGCATTAGAGGAGTTTGAAAAAGTTCAAAGGCAAGGCCCAGGCCAGCCAGGAAGAGCCAACCACTCACTGCTTGAGGACCTCTAGATGGATCCCCTAAGACACCCATCAAAATCCACTGTGGGATTAGCAGTGTGGTGTCACAAAACCCCAAGAAAAAAACAAAAGAAGAATTACAAAAGAAACGCACACGGAGTCAAAGTATGAAAAACCGGCAATACCACATACCACCAAGAGTACTGAGAACCTGTTTCCACGGCTGAAGGACAGAAGATCCAAAAATCCAGAGACGAGCACCCAAGAAAAAAAGAAGTGGAGAAAAAAGCACTGCTGTCAGAAGTAGGAGGGGTCAGGTGGAGGGGGAGTCATTCTTTGACTTTTAAGACAGTAAGAGAAAAAAGAATTGAAGGACAAAAGCAAAATCCTTTTGAAAGACAAAAAGCAGACGGTCCAGCTGTCTTCTGCATGTCTGCCACTGTTCTCCAGACCGCCCTGGCTTTGGTCCAGAAAAAGAACAGCTAAGGAAGAAAAAAAATGATCTTTTTTTTTCTCCAGTTGGACAAAAAAAAGGTAAAAGAAGAAGAAAAAAAATAATAAGAGAAAAAAGAAAAAGGAAGAAGAAAAGAAAAAAAAAAAAAAAAAAAAAAAAAAAAGGGACAGATGGTAAGCTGTGACTGGTCTGTGGTCTAACGACCGGGATATGCTTTCTTTGAAGCATATCACAACTTAAATAACCATTTTCATAAAGAAAGAAATGAACAAAACAAAGAGAAAAAGAAAAAGGAAAGTCCACAATATGAGAGTCATGAATCATAACCAAACGGAGGGAAAGAAATCAGGTTGATGACAGTATGAGATGGATCTGAAAACAGGACAGAGATGAGAGGGATGAAAGGACAGGGAGAATGAGCAAGATCATTCTGTGAACGTTAGGTCAGCATTCTTACCTCTTATTGGTGTACCACCTGGGTGGATAATATGAATGCAAATAAGATTAGAAAGAAGAAGCATTAGTACGAGAAGAAGGGGGCTAGGGCTGGGGAGAAGAATTCGATTAGGTTTACAGAGTTAAATAAGGTCTTAAAAGAAACTTGAATCACTATACTGGTAAACAGGAATATATTAGATCGTATCATTAGATAACAAAAGCAAGGTGCATTAAACCATAGAGGGCAAAGGTCATAGTAGGCCGAATTGCCTTTTTCAGAGAAGCAACTGAGTTCTTAGGGCTGGGGTCACATAGGGTTAGAAGTATATCTTATAAGCTTTGTATCCTTCAAAAAACAACTACACAGCATTTTAATAACATAGTTAAAGAAAATACTGGCTAAGCTATATATATATATATATATATATATATATATATATATATATATATATACACTCTTTGAGGAAAACTACATACTAGCTAGAAACAAACACTGAGGATTGGAATCTTATACTACTCATTATGCTACAATTGTGTGATTAACTTTGTACTATTTTATTTATTTATACAGTGTTCTTAAGATAAACAGTTCTGTGGAGGTATGCATGTGTGTGCCACTATAGAGATCTTGTGCCTACACTGACAGTTAGTAAAATGCATGCCATGCATTTTATTATTAATAATAATAATCATATTCTGAATATGGAAATTAGTGGGGGTGAAGTGCGCTTCAGAACTAAGCACTTACCAATGGATTCTGGAGATTTAAATACGGAGAGAAGAAAGACAGCATAAAAATATTATTATATTCCTCATAATTTGGTACAAAATTTTTCAGAGTTAAAGCTTTATTATACTAAATCATCTATGTTACATGTGAATAATTATTTATTTACAATAACAGAATGCTAATCTACACAATTCTGCTGACAACAAGCAAAAGAGTCAGTTAACAAGACGCTTTAACATCACAGGACAGGTCAAAGGCTGAGAATTCTGGGAAGACAGGCAGTTAACAGCTTAGAATTTTAGATTAATATCACTACCAACATCACAGCACAGAGATTATTAGTATACATTCCTGTGAAATTATCTAGGGACAGGCTCTGAACTTAAGAAATTGAGAATTTTTTCTATCTTAATTGACAGAGAGCAAAGGAATAAACTGGGAGGAGAATGGGAGAAGCAGCTGGAGTAAAGAGAAAGAAAACAGCAAAAGCAGGAGTCTACACCAAAGCAGACTTCTGTAGATCCAGTCACTGGAGGGGGTCAAAGCCCCTGAGCATGGGCACACACTGGCAGGAGTACTGTATGGGCAGTGCTCACCAAAAAAGACACAGAAACGGTATTAATCAATTAACTTCCGTTCATTCGTACTTAGACAAGTGCTTTAAAAAACACATCTGCTCACTCATGAATTCATGTTTCTGTGTATTGTGTATTAGTGAAAAGAAAGCAGATGTGCCCAAACTCACTGAACTTTGCTACTTGGATGAGTTTAAATGTAGATAAGATAACAGAAAAAACAAACAAACAAACAAAAAACAAAACAAAACAAAAAAAAACAAACCACTTGACTATTACTGAATCATTTTTTATGTTTAACATGAACATTTTTTTTACATATGGAAATAGCCACTGGAGCACCTTGCAAGTTTGCAATGAAATCCAATGTTGAAATAAATTTATTTCAAAAGAAAATGAAGAAAGAAGAAAGAAGATAAAATGGACCCATCAAATACCGCAGAAAAGCAGTAAATTAAAAATCATTAACAATACAGTCACAGCAGTGAGCAAAGTGGATTAAACAGAAGCTGCAAAACACACCAAGAGAAGACAGATTCTGGATGAGGCTATGACCTCACAAACACAGAAACACATTAAATAACTGAGAAAGAGAGAGGGATACAAATCAATACCTAAAAAAAAAAAATATGAAATTAAAATGAAATTAAAGAATAAATGTAGGGAAAGGTAAACTGTCCAGGAGTCAGTAGAAACAGTGACAAGACCCTACCTGATCGTAACTGCTTAATACGACCATTGTTGTTGCTTGTGTCAACTGGTAAAAAATCTTTAAACCAAGTGATTTCTGGATCCGGATTACCGCTCGCTGCACACAGCATGGTGGCAGTGCGGGTACGTTCCACCACCTTCAACTGTGGGCCCATGTCAATGGTAGGGAAACCCCTAGGAATCTGATCCTCTGCAAGACAAAAGGTAATACAATTATTTTAACAAAGTTAATGCTATCAATAAATTAATTTTCATAAATATGTTTCTTCACTTATTCAACATTTGTTGAAAATGAAGCACAAACCATACACTGTTGTACCATTTGGACATGGCAGCATGTCTATTCCTAATCAATGCTGTGTCAAGGCGATATATTTTTCATAGCTTTCACATGATGTTGCTCATAAATGACTTCTGTACCTACTGGTTTTGTATTCACACATTGAAATACTAATCCATTTGAGGACTAAACATATGCAAAAATGCCTAATACATTTTCTGTCAATCTCTAGACAATACAGTATATTAACCATTTACCCATAACATATACATTGAATTCAGTTACAAATCATCTAGTGATTAGTTAAAGCATAGGGAGATAATAAAGTTATACACATGTTAGACTATTTTATATAAGGAACTTGAGCATTTTGTGTGTGTGTGTGTGTGTGTGTGTGTGTGTGTGTGTGTGTGTTTGTGTATGTGTATGTTCTTGAGCTAGGCCTTCTCAAACTCTTAAATGATAACTATGATATGGATTTCTTTTTTCAAAGAGGCATGTGGTTCAATGAATTCTTCATAAGGAATTTCAATTAATCAGCAAAATTTTTAAAGACATTGGATTAATTTTATTTTATTTATTTTGGATATTTATTTATTTATTTATTTTGCCTTTTTTGAGACAGGGTTTCTATGTATTGCTTTGGAGCCTGTCCTGGAACTAGCTTTGTAAACCAGGCTGGCCTCAAACTCATGGAGAGCCACCTTCTGTGTGCTAGGATTAAAGGTGAGAACTACCAACACCTGGTGAGAACATTTTCTTTTAACCAAAGAAAAAGAGGGAATTCCTAATTACAAACACAAGAAAATATGGATTCTTATTCTTTAGTGAAATAATATTTTCCAAAAGTTCAGTAATTTCAAAGATGTGACCTCCTACATTTTGAGTCTCTAACCTACTTAAAGATAAATTCTCCCTACCATATTGGAGTTGCTCTACATGTAGATCTTGAAAAATTGTATATTGCTTACCTTCACCCTACCCTCATCACTATGCTCTTAGCAATAAACTACCTTGGCAATACTTTCAGCCAGGGATAGAAAGTATTTTCCACATTATCCCTACTTGAGATTTTAGCTTGATGGGTAATATCTCTATGAACACAGTTGTCAAACATTTGACTTCCAATCAGTCATGGTATTAATTTAATATATATTTCCTTATGACCACTGAAACACCATATTCGAAACTGACTTGTAAACATAAACACAAGTGCACAAATATTGTGAGAAATCATAAGTGAGAAAGCTGGCTTCTTCTTGGTTCCTGCAAGCTCCAGAGACCCATGGGTCCATTTGATTTGAGACTTCTAAATAGGTAGCATTCCAATTTTTACTGCAGAATCTCCACTCTGACGCTGTCACCATGTGGTCAGTTGGTTGGACCTATGTGTCTTTTCTGCCTTTTCTGTATAGTCTTGGTATAATTACAACCCCAATACTCTGCTGCCCATGCTCTTTGTTAAATCAGTACCCTCGACTATGTAGAGGAAGCCACCTTATTGAAATCAACTTACTTCAAAAGTTTTTGCAATCTCCTTCAAATACGTTTAATTTTTTCCACACTAAAGTTACCAGAGAAATAAGCAGGAAAATCTATCATTTATCCCTGTGTAACATGAGTTCCTTCTTGTTTTGTTTATGTCCAGATATCTGGAAATGATAATAATCAGGATTTTAAATGCCATTGTGTCCCAAGCCTAATGATTTTTGGTAAGTGGTAACTAGAATTGTTCAGGACTCTTCAGATTCCTGAAAGAACATCAAATGCTACCAATAAATGGGATGTTTTTGTAAATTATCCTAGTACATTGCCAGAGAAATCTTGTAGGCTAATAATTCAAAATACAGACTATGGATAGACAGGCTGTCTATTTGAGCTTGATATCTGCATTTAGGATAGACTACTTATGATCAGACTATGTATTTGAAGATTAGAATGGATATAAAAGTAAAATAAACAGAGAAATATTAAGTTAATTTTACACAAGTACATTTAAATCAAAAGATAAAGTAGTATCATACTGTGTTTCTTCAAAAGTTCAAATTCCTATCCATTCTCAACAAAGTAAAGGTCTACAGTGGCCAATGTCAGATACAGTGGTTAGGACTTTCAAAATGATTATTTAAATTTCAAAAGCAAAATTAAAAGTTGAATTCTATCAAGGTACGCTTTATGTCTTTATAGGTTTTGTCACTATATTTACATGTACAATAAAGTCCTAATGTTGTTGGAGGAAACAAACAAACAAAAAAGCAGAAATATCAATAGCCTCTGAACTCCACATATTACTACATGTTTCAGTTGGCAGTAATTTACAGTAGACTGCTACAAATTATAAAAATAAGTCACATCTTGTGCTCAAAAGTGCTGCCCATTGCCTTCATCATTATCTAGTTTCTAAAAACTAGATTTCAGAAAAAAATCTTAGATGTAATTTTCATTTTTCATTTTCTGGCAACCAAGTTAGATTAATAATTTGAAACCTCCATCTTGGGTTTTTGGAATATTCTGTATTCCACAGATCACTGCATCTTCCCACTGGGTTTACCTACCAATTGTCAGTATTGCTTTGTTGATCAATTCTCTTGCACATGTACACATATATAAAGAGTCAGGACAATAACCAGGCTCATCCATGCAGTATGTTTCAGGCACTTACTAAAGTCTCTTCCCTAGGAAATCTCAATATAATAACCTTCTATGGGAAATGGATCCCCCATCTTGGAGGTACCTCGATCCAAAGACTGCCCCTCAAGCAGACTAACACATTTGCATCTACTTTCTTTCCACTCTTGGCTCAAGAAGAACACTCTATAGCCTCCTTTTCATGTACCCAAGTTCATGGCAAAGAATACCTTTCTTGCATATTAATCTCCAAGGGGATTCAAATAGAATTTCTTTCTTAGTCTTAATAAGGGTAATTAAATTCTATCCACCACCCCTCCTTGCACAGAACTTCTTTGAATCTACTATCTTCATTAAAGTTTCATGAGAACCATCACAATGTAACAGATTCAAACAGCCAGAGCTGTTACAAGTTGACAGATGGGGCTTGCTTCCAACTTGACTGTCAGGTATTTGGCAATAAAACTCAGTATTCAACATAAAATAGAAGGTAGAAATAATGAAATTTCTAATTGGAAAGCTTATCTCAGTGGGTATAGTTTAGAAGATGTTAATTGCTTTTTTATCCTCTATATTTATTAGTAATTTATATAAAACTGCCTTGGCCATTTGATAACACAAGTTTTGACAGTTTATCAAGTCAGTGGAAACTTGGGCATCAAATTGGTACCATTAACACCCTAACCAAATAAACACTCTTAGGGAAACACAGCTATCAAAAATTAACAAACCATCTATGTTAGCACTTTTAAACTTTCACATGAGGTGAGAAGAAAAACATTTTGTCCTATTCATTAACATGCTCATTAAGGTTTAAAGTGCCTTACTTATCACCATTCTGTATTAATATTCAATCATGCAGAATTAGCTTCTAATTCATCAACAATTTAAATCAGACTTGACCTTCAGGAAACCATTTGGTCTGCTGCTTTGAGAGGCCATTAAAGGGCAGATGACTACACCCTTGTGCTCAATGAATCATGTACACATACACACCACACACACACACACACACACACACACACACACACACATACACACTGTTTAGGGTGGTGGTTACTGGCATGGAAATACAGCACAAGCGCCGAATCTGTTTATGTCTTAATAAAATCTGCTGATAGCAAATTTTCTGTTACACTAAAGAAAGGGTAATGTGAATGTCAGCATTTTGCTGAGTTAATTTAGCATTACTGCCCAACTTAACAACTGGAATAGGACTTGAAAGGTATCTATAAGAAAAGGGATGTCACTGTTTATAGGGAGCCATGCTTTGGACAGTGCTGAATGCTTAAGTAAGTATAATTTCCTGAGTTAAATTGCTTTCATCATTCATCCACAAATAATTTTATGAAGGTCTTTACTTTCATTCAAAATCCACAAATATTTAACCTTTCCTATTTGAATGGAAACAGCAGAACTCTAAATGATCTGTTATAGCTACAGAGTTCTTTTGAGGTGGCCTTGAAGAATTCTCATTACCAAGTATTTTCAGAGGTTTTACAGGGTGAAATCGACATGAGTAGGCCTTTTACTCACTTTTTTTTCTTTTTTAAAATTTAACTTCTTTATTAGTGATTTGGGAGTTTCACATAATGCACCTCACACCCTCCCCTCACCCCTGCTGTGCCCCCCCAAAAGAAAAAAAAAAGCAAGCAAACAAACAACAAGAACAAAACAAAACCAACCAAACAAACCCTTCATTTCTCCTTCCTTCCCACCTTTCCAACACCTCTTCATTTGTTCTGGTGGCACGGGGGGCTTGGTGTGTCATATAGTAAACCTTTTGTCTTCTTAGCTTTACTAACAAATCTTCATTGCAATAAGCACTGGTGTCTTCCAAAGCCTCTGGTTTCTGAATCCTCACCAGAACTCCCCTGGGTTAAGGTGGCTGCCCTGAGTCTTGGGGGATCCTTCTGGTATTATTCCACTGGACCAGTCTTTTCACAAGCTCCAGCAAGTTCAAAATAGTGTAGATGTTACCATGGGCCAACCCAAGGCCAGGTGTGTCAGTGCCAGCCAATGCTGCCACCTGCCTCAAGTAAGGGGGCAGAGTCAGCTTCCCAATGCCCATGCCATCTCTCCCAAGTGCAGGGGATGGCTCTCCCATGAAGGTTGTAAGAGCCCGGGCTAGATCTCTTGCTGCAGTGTCAAACTAGAGTCAAGCCCAGCTTTCTCTGGGCCAGGGAAAGGCCAGGAGAGCTCAGCATGGCCCTCTGATTTTATCTCACATGGTTGCTAAGACTCCCTGAGGTGACATAGGCCACAGACCCCAGCTACACCTG